CTGACCTAAATTGACCGGACAGTGGTGAATGAAGTTGAACCCCCCTCCCCAACCCACCCCGGACTGATCTGTTAAGTACATGTAGAAAAACGCGTAATGATGTACCAAAGTACCATGCCGCCAGAAAATTAGCTTTTTAAACGTAAAACTCTGTGAATACTGTTTTTGCAAGTACCAGTAAAAAGGTGTGTGATCAATACAGTGATCTAACCCATACCTTTCACCATGTTAAAAAATGATCTTTAAAGAACACAAAGAAGCAGTAGTTAATTAAAAATATATGATCTGAACTAAAAGACCAATATTTTCATTTAGTTAAATTCCGAGTGTTTTTCAACTGAATCGAAAATTGTGATTTTATACCAACTCTGATTTTAAAAACTTTCATTATGCTGTAATACTTTAGCATTTATGATGACGATATATTAAATTCTGATTATAGACAAAAACATTTTGTAAACACGAATAGTGTTAAACAATTTTATTATAATCTAAAGTAATTATTTATTTGTGTTGACATTTATAATTAAATGTGTAGAGATATACATATTTATATTAAGAGAGTGATTATTTCCCCTATTTCACTTAACTTAAATAATTTCCCAGGAATTATTATGTAAGAAAATTTTTTTTACAAGAATTACAAAACAGATTGTGTTACGTTCATTGTTTTTGGTTGTAGTGTGTATATATATATATTTTTGTTTAGATTGATACAATTTTTGTTTTGTCGGCATACATTGTGTGTTTTTTCTTATTTCTTCAGAGTGCTACTTTCAATTTATTTTACATCATTTCAAAATAATGACATATAGCTACAAATTATATATATATATATATATATATATATATATATATATATATATATATATATATATATATATATATATATATATATATATATATATATATATAAATTCGGCGCCTTTTTTTTGCTCTTTTCGCTCCCCCTACAACGAAAACCTAGATACGCCTCTGGGGGTAAGGCTGCATAAGTGTGTGTGTGGGGGGGTGGGGGGGGGGTGGGATTGAGACACCATGAGAGAATGAATCACTGCCTTAGACGATCATTGATTTAAAAGTCGAGATCTGCGCATGCTTTGTTCACGTGACTGTAAGACAAGACACTGAAGCCCCATCACCCCTGTCCTCTCGTGTGCAACTGCGCCAGTTACGTGCGTTCACTGCTCTTAGGGCGACAAAAAAATAGTTCTTCTTACTTGAAAGGCCACATTCCGTCAAATGCCATTACATCTTCAATCAGACTCAAGATGGCGGGGTAAAAAATTAAAAAAAAATAAAAGATTTTTAAAAAAAAAGAACAATTACTTGAATTGGGCCGTCAAGAATAAAAGGACAAAGAAAAAATTCAAAGGATTCCTTGACCTATTAACTTGAAGAAGATTCCAAGTTTTTAAAAAACCCATTCCTTCAATGTGACAGGAGGGCGAAGTGTGCCGCTAGGAGAAAGAAAATGGCGAGCTCGAGAAAAACGATTTGACAAGAACAGCGACCAAGGATAGTAAAAACTAAGCTGCAAGTTTTTTTTAAAATACTTTTTTTGGGGGGTCATCGATAAATGGCATCACAGAAAGAGAGAGTGTGTGTATGTCGTAAGGTCGTCCAAAAATGGCTTTACACTAGAGGCGTAGCTAAAGGAGGGCTTTCGAACCGGGCGCCGACCCGTAGGAGGCGCCGCTAAACTGGGTAGAAAAATAAAATAAAAAGCTCATTATGAGATGCATTACTGAATTATACTAAGCCGAAGTTAGGAAAAACAGACTGCTACTTGGTTTTAAGGACTGTTTTCTACACCAGTTGTGAGATACCAAAATAAAAAACCGTCCGACTCATTAATTACGTTTGGCAAAAAAACGCCCCCTCCCACAATTAGGAACAGTCGCCATGTATATATAAATAAAGGTTGGGGGGGGGGGGGACGACGACGACGACTGATATTTAGCCCTAGACGCCGGAATGGGTCGTTATGTCTCTGCATAACACAAACGGGTTTTAAGAGAGGGACTGGGGGGGGGGGGCATCCATAAAAAACTTTACTACACCAGGGGAGTTGGAGCTGTCGTTCTTTAATACAAGTAGACACCAAGGTGTTTGGCGGGGGGTTGTCTATACATAACGTTAAAAACCTAGAATAAATGACGTTAAAAGCTAATGGGGATTAGATGCTGTCCATAAATAAAGCTTAACACGAAGGGTAGATGGGGGGGGGGGGCGTCCATAAAATAGTGTAGGTAGCGTGGTGTTATATGAGAGATGAGGGGGGTTAACAAAAGCGACGTATTTTTGGTAATATTTATGAAAAAGAATAATGAGAAATATACGCTTCGTGTATTTGACTCTGCTTGAGTTAAGAGGTTCGTGACGTCTTTTTTTGCGGGAAAGGGGTGTGGGTGGGGGGGGGGGGGGGGGGTGTGCCTAACCTCATGTAAAAGTGTCAGACTATAGGGATTGACCTAGATCTATAATTTACATGAAGGCGTGACGTCACTTTATGAAAGTGCTGTCAAGAAGAAAATACAATTTTGTTATTGTTAAACTATTGTGTACGAGCCGCCCCGCAGCGTAGCATACGCCGCTATGTAGTTGTTTTATTTTCTACTTTTCAGTAATTCATAATTTGTGAATTCGACAGTACCAATGCTGCCATTGAAAATATTTGCTTTAAAACACTAACCCCCCCCCCCTCCCTTTCCCCCAACCCCTACCCTACACCTCCCCCCCCCCCCCCCCCCCCGTGAAAGCAGCCTCCTCTTAATAACCTCCTGTAAGTTTAAAATCGTTTCAAACTAAATTATCTGCCCCTGATAGCCGTCACTAAACCCGTTTACGATTTGTAAACATTAACGTGACCACAGCTCACCAGACAATGTAGGGGGTGGGGTGGGGGTGGTAGTGATAGTGACCGAGAGAAAGAGAGGGGACTGCAAGGAGGCGCTTGCAGCTTGTTTTCTAACGGATCCCAGAGGAGAATTATATATATAGATACTCGTAGTTAGAAGAACGACGTAGAGAAAGGAGGGGGGGGGGGGGGTGAATGGCACTAGTGTTCATCACCGGAAGAACCAATTAGCATATTAGGTGACAAATTGGGCGTTACATAACACGTCAATTCATATTGCATACGCAATTATTTCAATAGCCCGTACTTAAAAAAAAACAACAACATAATAATAATTCTAAAATAATTGCCTATGGTAACCCAAGCTCACTCATGGGAGCGAAGTCCGACAGTACCCTATTGAGAGTCATTTTTTTTTTACTTAGTGTGATGACTTTTTGAGAGGGCATGAAGTGATGTTTATTTTTTTTTTTTTTATTTTTTTTTTTTTTACGTACGCTCGCGATCGTACTGCTGTCTGCTGACATGTTTTTTAAGTGGATGATGAGTGGTTCTCGGTGGTAAATAGAGCAACCGCGGTCGGACGTGTTGCGAAAACGTCACAACGTGCCGATTGAATATAATCGGTCAATAGAGGGTATAAACGACGTCTTACAATTAGGGGGGAGGGGGGGGGGGGCGGAGCCGCGGGTTAGTATTTAATTACACCGTGTTTTAGTTGAGAAGAGCGTAAGAAATATGCATGAAAGAAATACACGTAGTATTTCTTTAAAATAAAAAAAAAACAAGAAAAATTTCATAATTTACGTTAGGATATTCTTGTCATTTTTTGGGGGTTCGGGGGTATAAGTTAGTAACGTAACGTTATACCAGGTGGGGTGGTATTTCTGACGGTGACCGGGAAAATGCGCAACAGAAACTGCGCCTAAAAATTTTCGCATAGAATTAAAAATCGAACATTTATAGTAGGCCCTATAGTTATAGACATTGGGAAGGATAGATCACACATACATTCGTACATTTTAGCATAACACATTTTTTTTTCCGCGGAATAATTTCTGCCGTATAAATTAAAGGGAAAAGAAAAACCGTTTAAAGCAGAGTGCATCATTTATGCACTTTTTAATATCAATATTTTTACCTACAATTGTAAGCCATCGGATTATTTTGGTTTTACATAATCATAAATGTATTTTCTTTCCGATAGATATAACCCATTACAAGGGAAGTAACAGCAGGGTTTAAATAAGGTACATAACATTAAAGTGTAAACAATAAGTAACAATAAAGGAACAACCAAGGGAAATAATAATTAAAAGACTTAATGGAGAAAGCAGTAGAAAACACTCAAGGGAATATTGTGGACTTCATTAAGCAAGGAACCAGTTAATGAACTCGATATTTAGTGCGCAGGGTACCAGGTTATGGACTGACTGGAATCAGTACCCTACTGTCGTGTTACACTGTTCCTGTTGAACTCACTCCAGTCATCAACAGGTATCATTTTCTTTGGAAACTGTCTCTATCATGGCATCCCTGCAGAGGAAACTTCTAGAACAGAGATGTAATGATACATAAGCCTTTACTTGTTGCATACAGGGGTTGTCTAATCAAGTTAAGGGTTGTCTAATCAAGTTTAAGGGTTGTCTATCAAATTAAGGGTTGTCTATAAAGTTCAGGGTTGTCTAATCAAGTTAAGGGTTATCTTATCAAGTTTAAGGATTGTCTATCAAGTTAAGGGTTGTCTAATCAAGTTAAGGGGTTGTCTAATTAAGTTTATGGGTTGTCTATCATTGGCATCACAAAGCTGAGATGTTTGCCCACATAAATTAGAACAGGGTTAAGAAAGTGATGTCACATTCAAGCGAGTTTGAAGTTTTTTTAACTGAATTTTTGCAGGTAGCCTAGCTCGCTTTTTTTAAATAACTTTTTTTGTAAAAAATAAACAATCTTTACAATGTACGTAGGCTTTTTAAATAGAGATTAGTCATATTTTAAAAGAACAGAAATTTCAGTTATGTAGAGGATGGTTCTGACTTTTTGTGAAGATGTGAATGTGTGACAATGGGTAGTGGGGGTGAAATATTGCAAAAAAAAATTAGATAATTTAAGTGGCAATGTAATAAAACAAAGACTAAAATATATGAACAAAATTTATTGAATAGCTGACAAAATGTTTTCATGTGTCATTAAATAAAACAACAGACAAATATCAAATAAAAACTTACACAAGCAGGTAAAAGAAAAAGTCCTCAATGATCTAAAACAATAAGCATTACCACTGTTGACATGATCACCTAGAGAAAGCAGTTTTACAATGCTAAACCTTTGTTGCGGTACTAAGGGAGACAATCGGAAAAAATTGTAAGACTAAAAATCTTTTTACAAGTTACAGTTCCTTTCACAAAAGAGAATTTGGTCATTTTTTTGTTTTGAACAAGTAATAGTGGCAAATCCTAAAAAAATTGATATCAGAATACAACATAAATATCAATTTAGATTATGTATAGACTGCACATAAACTTGAACATTCAAACTAAACAAAATAAAAAAGAATGTTGTATCACCTTGACTTCAGACAGAAAGAAAACCCAACTTCATGCGAAATATGATACAAGGTTGACAACATCAAAGATGTTTCCACTTTCTTGACACTATGCTTGAATATTTCCGTCTAATTACACATCACTTTAAATAATAACTTAATAACATGTTAATTATCCTCCCAGCTCTAATCACAGTACCAACAGAAACAGTTACCTGTAGCTTGTATCTACAAAATTACACTTTTAAAAAAAGGAAAATTGCCCATGAACAATACTAACAAGAATAAACAACCACCATAGCTTCTAAGCACAGATATTTAAAATGGACACTGAAAGGAACTCACAAAAAAAAGTATTTATTTAAAAACTGTACACAAAGTAGAAAATACTTTGTGTGGATTTTGTTCATATTCCAATGACCATGCTGAAAAATGAGCTACAAATTTGGTGAACACTTTAAATATACAAAGGAGAAAAATAAAAAAAAACACATTTCATGAAGAAGAAAAAAAACCAAAGTAGAGTTTATAACTAAATTAATGAAAGACATTCACACTTGTCTGGTTGAAATACAAAATTCTCAGTGATGAATAGTTGTAATACTAGTCTGACATGTAAGTTGTTTTCTTCGTTACTTGGTATAAATGATAGAGAGTAGACATTAAAAGCTGAACACCAAAGCATAAGTTCTATGTTTTTTAAACAACCCAAAAGTGATCCTACCCGTTCACCAAGATGGATGAATACAAGCAAACTGCTGGTGCTGGTGCCAGGCAGATGTGGTCATGTTGGCGAAGGAATGCTGTTGTACCACAGATAGTTACATCAACAATCACAAGTACACTAACAAACTCAGCAGGTGAGATCTAGCTGGTGTGTGTGTGCGCGGATGGGCTCACTCTACTCATGTTGACGACAATGACAAAAGAAAAGTAGCGGATGGCCGACCTAAAACTATTCTTTGAATACGATTTCACAGAGTCACTTTTTCATCCACAACTCCAGGAATATTTAAGAGGAAAATTTTATTACATGAAACGGGTAAGTAAATATTTTAGTAATATTTTAAAATGTATATTTAAATGCACATTATAGGGGACCATACAAGAAAAAAAAATGGGCACTGGGACCACTGGCACTAATTATAAAATATTTTTGTATCACAATATTAATTCATCTCCCTTTTCAAGATAACTTCAGGTAGATCCTATTTAAAGCTAACACATAATCCTAAGGATTTGAATAAAGTACATCCAAAACATGTGTTAACTAAGTTGATTTTGTGCAAAAATATCCATGATACCTACTTATATATTGAACATCATGACAAATTTTACACCCCAAACAAGTAAGTCTCAAAAGCATTTTATGGTTATAACCATTGCAACAAAATTTCAAACCAATGTATCCCAAATTTAAACAAAGAAACATTTGTTTATAAAGACTTCACTAACAAACAACAGATAAAAAATTACATTACTGACATAGAGGAAACAAAATGGTTCATTTCACACCAAAAAAATATGAAGTATTTGTTTCTTCAACCTTTTTCCATGCACAACTGATTATCCAGAAAAAAAAAAAAAAAAGTTAACCCAGAAAATAAACTGGACATTAAATATACATCATATTAAATGAAGCTGTACTACAGTGCCAGGTTCATTTAAATTTTTTTTTTCAAAATTGCTTTTTAAAAAAAAATGGTTTTGCTGTGAATAAAAAGAGAATGCATACACCAAGCTTGGTGGGAAGAATTATATATGCTATAGTTAAACAATGACTACACCAACTACACTGGAAAGTTATTTAAAAAGTTCTGACAATTATATGAAACAAAGCAACCTCAAGGGTAAAGTGTAGTAAATTCAACATGGTGACAGCAAGCAAAAAAAAAATTCTTATAAACTCAGGTAGGTTCAAGACAGCTGTGATCTCATGCAGCTATCAATGTAATACACTTTTAATAATTAACCTTTTAGTTCGTCAAAATCACAAGTAAGATTTGGGAAAGAAAAAAAATATTATCAGATGGCTTGTATAACAGAATATTTTGAGCACTGGCAGCTTTGACACATAGTTATCTAGTTTAAAAATTCAAGTGCGGCTGTTGGTCAGACAAGCAAAAAAAAAAAAAATTTAACCCATATATTTTTTTTGAAAAAGAACTGAAGCCAGTAGAGACTAGGACAAGACAAACTGAGGCTGCCAGAGGCCTAATACTTGTGTGTTTATTCTCCAACAGCTTCCACATCTGTGTGCTTCACTTTGGAGAAATCAAAGTCCTCTCCGGTAATGCGCTTGAAAATATCCAGCACATCATCACAAGTGGTTTCAAAATGAGTTGTGGCATCGTAGGATTTGGAGATGAATATCTGAAAATGGAAAACAAATTTAAACTTATTTAACTTAAACTTAATTATTTTTCTTTATTTTCTTGATAACTAGTAGTAGCTATTCAGCAAAGTAATGACTAAGCAATTTAAATTCTTGGAGCTGGCACAAATTTTTCTGACTAGGTACATTGTTATGTAAAAAGTGACCAAAATAAAATATACAGAAAGGTAAGTATAAGGTTTAGTTTCCAGCAATTATTACAACTATTCTACTACCATGATCAAACTATAAAAGATTACAGACAACTTTCAAAATGTTATAACTCCTGTCTTAAAATTTTTCCACACACTAGATTAGTACACAAATTGTTGTCTCACCTTGTTCTCTTTGCCATCATCTTTAGGCTCTAATAGGTCAACAACACTAACAAATCTGTTAAACAAGTAAAACAAATCATTTGAATCTCTTGGAAAACATAAGAAAATAATAAGCATGCAGGAAACATGCATTTAAAGTGTGAAACTTTATTACAAGTTATAATAGCTTGTTACTAAAACTTGTACACATTCATTTTTTTCTCTAAATTTTACGCTTTAATAAAGCTAAGATTCCACACGCTGTACATAGCAGAACTGGACATTTTAAGGATGAAATACAACTATAAATCTTCTTTCTTCTTCTTCGTTCTTAATTATTAGTGCTGAAGGGGATCGAGATTTATCTGCCAGTGGGTTTGAAATCGAGACTTTGTTCGAATTTATCAACCATGAGCTTTTTGCCGACTTGACCACGCCTTCAACACAATTAAGCGTTACGTGTCAACTGGTTATGCGCCATTGAGGCCATTGACTCCGATTTCAGCCTGCTTTTCTTTTTGGATTTGCTTCCATAGCCTTTGTCCAACCAAGAACAAACTACAAGGCAGCAGTTGTTTAATTTTGGAGTTGTCTCTCCTAGACGAGTGGCTGTCCCCAGCTAACGAGCCTCATCTGCCCGAGGGTTCGAACTCGAGACTTTTCGGTTTAGCAACCATGAGCTTTACCGACTCGACCACGCCGACCCCCAACTATAAATGTTTTATCAGTTACTTGTACTTTTTAAAAACCAACACAGTTTAATAAAAGTATTTATATTTATCAAACTTTTAAGTCCAATAATAAAAAAATTTCTTAAAAATTCCATTAAATTGATCGAACTAGCTCCACCCACCCACTTTTAAAGCTGTAATTAATTTATATTTTCAAATATATTTTTTCGAGCACTCCAAGTCATAACCTCACAAACCTCTCAGGCTGGTTTATTTTTTCTTTGTACACTTTTAAAATTAGGCTAGTTCTAATTACTGAAGACAATTTTATAACTTGGTCATCTTTCCCCCTTAGAAGAAAATTTAAAAGAATGATACCAATACTAACAGATGTTGGCCTTTTGCATCATGCAACGCATCGCAACGATATAAGTGCATAGTAATTGTGTGGAAAATGTTTCAGTAAAGTTCTCTAAATAAAGAGAGAAAGACAAAAGAATCCTTTACTTTTCTTCTATTGCTCCCAAGAGGTCCAGGCCTGGCTGAAGCTCTGCCTCAGGGTTGTTAGTCTCCACTGTTGTGGCTACAATGGCCAGGTAGTAGTTTTTGGCACAAACATTGTGGGCAGCTGACACCATACACACATATATATCTGGTGAGAAAACATGCACATATTTAATTTATTACATTTAAGTCAATATATATATATGCAGATCTGTTGAATAAACAATCTCATGAGTGGCCATACAGGGTTTCTACACAAAAGTTAATTTCAAAATCCTGGATTCCCAGAGGAAACAAAAAACTCTCCTGCCTTATATAAAATGCATAAAACATGAGCAAAAATTTAAAATTTATTATATGAATTACTAGCCACAAAAACACAATGGAGAATAATAACAGCATACCATATGGATAACACTATATACAAACAATAAACATATGTATACACTCTCCCTTGTTTCATGAACCACTTTTGAGTCAATTTTCAAAGAGATATTTGTAATTTGATCCTGTCTGCTTTAATAGAAAAGTATGATGAATTTTAAATAAAAAATTCTTTATGACTGCTATTACGATCTGCATTTTCAGTCAATCTTAAATTCTATAAACTTTTAAAGAGAAGTCCACTAACAAGAAGTGAGACTTGGCTCAATTTCTGGTTTCTCAAAAACATTAAGAATTAAATTATTTTATAAAGCAGTATATTCTTAATACTTTTCCCCGCATTATTTTCCTCAAACCACTTGCTAATTTTGGCACAAACTCACCTACACTGCCATAGCCTAATTCCACTGGAAGTGCTGTCCCAAACCTTAATGTCATTTACAAATATTTTAAAAGTTTATCTGAGATTAATACCACTTTATTTATTGGTGATTATAATATATTTTGAATTATTTCTTTTTAAAAAATCCCTATAGTCCTTAGGAAATTTGAAAATTACCCTAGGTCTATCTGTAATGTTTCTTCCTCTAAGAGTTAACATAGCTTGACCAACTAAGTCAACATCAGTAGGAGGCAGTAGTAGACTCATTGGCGACAGGAAAGTAGAAACAGAATTTTTTAAAAATTGTACATCAGATGCACCCAACTGTTAGTAACAAGGAGTGTAAGAAATAAAAAAAAATTCCTGTCTAGTGTTAGACAACACATGAAATCTCTCCAAAATGGGCTGATCAAGTCAATTTTGGCATCACATAAGAAAGTGATCAGTCATAATAAAAATAAAAGGACTTTGTGTTTAGACACAAGAGATTTTATAAAAGTGTTGACAGCAAGGAGAAAAAAAAACAGCACTAGATGAAATCTTTGCAATCCCAGTTTAATGAAAAATGCAAAAATAAAAAGAGCATACATAAAGTTAGGGGTGACTGAATTTTAATAAAGACTTGCACTTGCACACTTGCAACATGTGGCAGCTTTGATGTTATCTAACAAAGCTGTGAACACTGGATTTAACTTACAATGTGAGTTTCAAACTTAGCCATAGGAGATGGAGGCTGAAGGAGTGACAGAAAAGCCTAAGTAATGTAGCTAAATGATAGGAACTTGCTTTTGTTTACTGAACTTGTGTGAGACTTTATTGCTTTTTCTGTTTGAGACACACACAAGTTGCACAATGCCAACAAAACGCTTCAAACAAATTTTAATGCCGAGATGTATTGTCATGTTCTACTACTGTCGATTGAAGGACAGCTAATTTATTCAAAATAAAAAACCCACAAAGAGTTTTTAAATCCAAAAATTGGAACTCAAACTGACATATAGAAACTTAAACTGAACAGAAAAGCAAAAACACATTACCAAAAACCTGACAAATTATCATAAACACACAAAAAATCTCACAAATTTAATTGAGGATAATTTCAGGAAGCAGTTGGAACAAGAGTTTACATCTGTTCCTTCAAAAGATTATTTTCAAAGCACATGTTCAGGTTAAACACTTACCATCGTTCCTGTTGACCTGGTTTTGGGGAATGATGATTTGAACTGACTGTCCATCCTTGGTATTTTCAATTGGATGATTTAGGATGCAGATTGCACGAACAACCTTAGTTATGGAAATATAGAATCTTGTTATAATTCCCTTGCCACTTGTCTTATCACTTATTTAAAAATAAACTTTAAAAATAATGGCTGACATTTATAATGACTAGAAATTTCCATAGCAACTCAAAAGCACGGAAGCGTAACCACTTGATTTCATAAAAACATTGAAGTCACTTTGTTAAAAGATGTAATGTAATTTTGACATGTTAATTTTTTTTTGTTTTTATGGAATGAAGTAAGCCACTTTAGAATTTTCTCAAGAAACCATTCAGTTTTTAGTCAGTCTACTCACCTGTCCTACTTTCTTGCAGTGATCTGGGGCATAGGTTGGATCACAAACTACAATACTACATTTGGCAGTGTCTTTACCATCAGACACACCCACCACATGGCCATCCTCCATGACTATTTTGTCAACTGGTTTGTCCAACATGTAAGTACCACCATAAATTGCACTCAACCTACAAAATGGTAGGGAAATGTCTATCATATGTTTAAGTTATAGTAAAACAATTAAAATAGTATTAGAAAAATAAAGCAATTGCTAAAGAATAGAACCACTATTTAACACACATACACTTTTAAGTTAAACATGTAGACCAAATAGAATACTTTCACAATTTTAGATCACTTTCAGCTTTTTTTTTCTTATTTCTTTTTTTTATAACTAGCTTTAAACAACATTAACTAATTTCATTAATTTGAAACTGTTGAACAATGATGTATAGATTATCCAAGTTTAAGTATTCATTTTTAATTTTGATAAAATTTAGATACAGCATTTTTCCTACAACAAATGTTGGTGTGACTAACCTAGCAAAGCCTTGTGGAAGTTCACCTAAACCATATAGAGGATACAAGTAAGGAGATTTGCCATATCTGGCTAAGGAATCACTGTAGAGACGACACTTTTTAATCAACTGGGCACATGGCTCCATCATGTATCTACAAAAGACAAACAACGTGTAATGAATCATTTTAATGTTAAATCTGATGATTAAAAAGGAAAATAAATATTTTTCTTAAGAACAATTAACATGTAATTTACATTTTTAAAAATTTACTTAAATAATGTAAATAAACATACTAGTTCTACCAAAATAAAATTAAAAACCTCAACTTACTTATCATTTCTAAAAAGAGCTAAAGCATGTCCAGTGAAATCTTGAGTGTTTGCATCAAGACCAAATTTTTCATAAACTTGTTTAGAAACCATGTTAGGTTCCACCCCTTTCCATGTCTTAGGGTCTTCAGCATCGTAGTCTTGAACAAACTGGAGGAAGTTTTTGAAGCGACGTTTTTCAAAAATTCCCATCAGAGCTGTGAAAACAAGTAGGCTTGTGAAATATTTTTACAGAAAAATATACTAATTCATTTCAAAATGTTTGAAATAGAAGTTTAAAAAATAACAAATGGTAATTCATTCTATCACCCTTTCAATTCATGTGATTAGTTATAAAAATATTCACTGTTAAAAAAATGAATTTATGAAAGTAATTGAACAAGAAACTAACAGCTCGTAAGTAGTATAATACTTCCAACAGCAAAATCAAAGTTATTCTTGAAAAGATTTGCTTCAAATAAGAAAGAATTGTATAACTATAGGAAGTATTAAGTATGGAACCTAATTATTTATTTATATATATTGTGAAGATAATTGTCATACGTATATTTTTTAATTCAGTTTAAGTTTCAATTTTAATGTCTTACATGATGCAAGGGCTTCTTTTTCATCAGCTGGAACCTTGTAAATTTTCCCACCTTTATACACATAACTACCATCAACAGATTTGAACTCCAAGTAGCGTGTGACACCAGTGTGAATTAGCAGTTTAACAAGTTGACCTGCAGAAACACAAAATTTAGCCATGTTAACTCCTTACAAGCACATTACAGATGAGCTCTAACAAGAACTAACTTACTATTAGAGAACTCTAACTGGCACCAAAACTTCCTTACCATTAGCCATGAGAAATTTTGGGATAAGATCAACATTCCAGTCTCGTCCTCTGCCATATTTGTCACCAACAACAGGCTTGCCAAAATGTTGATAAACCTTTGAAAACAGTTTAAATACATTAATTTGCCACGTTTTACCTGTATTAATGTTCAGCTATAGTTGAATGGTATTTAGAATAACATTTTATAGTTAAAGAAATGTAAAACTTTTAAAGAGCTTTACCTGCCCAACCTCGCTGACCCCTATTCATAAATTAATAGCATAGTTTACCTGGTCAAGAGGAGTCAAGGAAGCACTTTCACCGCCATAATATGCGTTCCTGTCTAGATGTAAAACTTTTTTCCCAGACACAGATAACATACCACTAAGAATGCATTCCTGAAATGATCATAAATTAAAATACTTAACTCTTACTTACCATAAACCACACTGCTAAAGAATAAGTGGTAAAAAATGTGGTGGTAGTAACAGAAAGGCCAATAACTTGGGAAACAAAAGAATGTTTTTCAAAAAAAGAGTTAACACCACAGATGTAAAAATGTGATGCAACAAAAAAAATGACTTAGATCTATGTTTTTTATAGGCCTACATTTTTTTCTTTAAATTGAAACAATTTTGAATATAGCCATTAGTCTTTAAAAGCAGAGTATTAGGTATTGCTGTATAAATCTAGATCTGTCCTGTACTCTACTACTAGTGAATAATAGATCTAGAACAAGTCTAACTTAGTGCTAAGCTGATATAGTCTCGAGTAAAAATCTAGTTTTAGTTGGTTACTGATAGTCAGTGATAGTGGATTTAAATCTCATCGGGGGGATTTTTAAACCAGTGTCTGATAAGTGATAATATAACCATTTTTAAAAAGCGGTGTTAGGTTACTGGTAGTTAACTTAGTAGATAGTAATACACACTTGGTTTGCTAATATCAATGCTAATCTTAGGGCCTTATGTTAAATGTTATCCCTATCCCTAACCTCAGTCCTACCACATGCCTAACCTAACCCGGTATACCCCTAACCCTAATTTCGAACCATAAAATTAGTCGAGGTTACAATACTACTAACAACCTAACACGCCTATTTTCAGATGAGTCTATTATAGGACATCAGTATTCTCAACCATCCTAATTGTGAAATAAAAAAGATAAGAAGTGTCTCACTCTCTGTCTCAGCCATTTTAGTATTTACTAACTTCCAACACTAAGTTAGGCCCTAACCCTTTCTTTTTATAAAATAGATCTAGATCTTGGTTTCTAGATCTATTTAGTACTATGACAAGTAATCCCCAATACCCATGCAGATGTTTCAAAGTATCTTGATTCTAGATCTAGATTGATCTCGAATCTTGGATTAATCCAAATTCATGACCCTTTTCGATTTCGATGAATCAGAGATGAGATCTCGATTTCACGGTACTTCTGATCTGGCTGAAACTTCGGGGTTAGAAATCAATAAATTGTTGAACCATTAATCTACTCTTGGATATTTTAACGTTTTTATTTACAACAGATTACCTTGAGCCCTGTGCCCATGACGATAACATCATAAGTATCATCCATTTCTAATTTTTATTTTATTTCCTAGGAAGTGAAGACTAAACTAGACACTCAGTTACACCCACTGATGATGCTTACACCGGGCACTATCAACATGTCCACTTCCTCTACGCGTATTAATACACTAGACTTACACAAACTACCGACATAAACCATTTATTTGTATGTAAACAGAAACTGCTTAGCAACTTTTTCATACAACTGTTCCACTTAAACATTGCACAAAAATGCTTATCTTCTTGCATGTATAATTTAGTTAAATTATATTTTTTAATATATTCGACAACAATGTAGACCTAGATCTAGCAGTAATCGTTTCTTTTTACTCAATCGCCTAAAACTGGACACTGTTCAGAGTTTCTTCCAGGCATAACGCGGACAGACTAGATCTATGAGGCCGACACAAAAAGGATGACACCCGAAATTCCGACAAATCATAAGGCCAACAAAGGTACAAATTTAAATATCGCAAAATATAGGTATCTGCATAGCTCCCCTCTATATATATACAACTATCAAAGAACGAAGTCACCGTCTACATGCAACAAGGCGTAACGTTCAAGAGACAAAGCTAGTTGCTATCATTATAAATTATACGGTAAACAGTTGGGTCCAATCCACACAGGATGGCGAGAGTGACTTAAACACAAGAGATAAACATCATAAGATTGCAAAATATGGGTCGGTACTGTCTTCAACATCTGACATGAGCATGGTGATAAGGGCTGATATGGGGGGTCATCCATAAATGACGTCACGCTTTTTTGACGATTTTTACCTCCCCTCCCTTCCCTCCTCACACATCGTCACAAAAAGTCAGAGAGAGTTCAGACACGATTTTGGAAAATATCGATGTTTTAAGAAATATTCAACTGCAATTTTGAGGAGGGGGTGTAGGCTGAGGTGTGACGTCATTTTTAGGGGGGGGGGTGTCTGGCTTTTTCTGACGATGGGTGACGGAGGGGAGGGGGGGGGGGGCAAAAATCGTCAAAAAAGCGTGACGTCATTTATGGATGATCCCTTAAAGATCGATATTTTTCCAAAATCTTGTCTGAACTCTGTCAAAATAGAGGATTTTAATCACTTCCTATGAACAGTTTCCTAAAACGCGAAATAACGTATAAAATTTGTTTTCTAACATTGCTTTTTTATAACGCAAAAGTGTGACGTCGCACCATCTGAACTCCCCTCCCCCCTCGTCATACACCGTCACAAAATTACGGACCCCCCCCCCCCTCCCCCTGTGAGTGTGACGTCATTTATGGACGACCTCTATGTCATCAAAGACATCACTGTGAACTAGGTGCTAAACATTAATTTTATTGGAATTTTTTGGTTAATAAAACTTGTCGGCTTAATGTCCAGTCGGCATTTTCTATGTTGGTTTTATGTATATGTCGGCCTTATGTCAAATTGACCTTTTTGATGTTTGCCTTTTATATATCAGCCTTATTTCCTGTCGGGCTTTTGTCTTCCCGGCCTTTTGGATGTCGACCTTTTGTTATAAATAGATAGTTCCTTGTGTTAATTAAAAAGAAAGGAGCAATTTTTCAATTTTTTTTTTGCAAACTCCGCTTTTCTGGTGTATTTAGTATCTAGCACAATTGGTTAATTAAGCGGTCGTCCTTAAATTAATTGACTTTTTTGACGACTTTTACCGCACTCCTCTTCCGGTCCGGGGTGTGCACCCTACCACCCCCCCCCCCCCAAGCGAAATAAAACATATTTTGAAAATGTATGCTATACTTTAACCAGTGTCAACAAAATGTGCCCCTTGTCCAAAAGTTTCAAGTGCCCCTCCCGCCCTCCACCCCCCACCGGAGAAAGATCTCTGAAAAAACATCCTCCCCCCCCCCCCGATGTATGGACTACACTGTCAAAAACGACGTTGGATTGTCAAAAACATTTGTAATCTTATAAAATTGATTTCGCCTTATGCTACAATTCAAATTTCCAATCATATATCAAATGGAACTGTATCACTGTAGGCCGTATTTAAAAATAGACTTGCTTCAAGTTATTAAAATTTAAACCATATTCAAATTTTAAACTGTGAATGATTACCATAATAAAATGATGATTTAGATCTAATTTTAAATTTCTTTTAAACTGTTTTTAAGCACATAGTCAAACTAACTTGACGCATTTATAAGTCTAATTTCAGTAAATGACAGTTTCAACTTCTGAATAGTGCTGCATGATACGCTGATGGCAAAGTTCTATTACTTAACTAGGCCCAGATCTATTTATTTTATATAGGCTAGGTGTGCCTATGCTTATACGCCCCTTTAACTTTCTTGTCTAAAAAAATCCCCCCCCCCCCCTCCGAAATACATCATGTTTACTAATTAGGCCTATTTATACTTTTAGTTGGCTTACACTCTATTGATTTTTGAAACAAGAAAACCATAAGCGCGGTAGTTACCTTTTGCGTTAACGGATTAATGGTTATTTACGGTAAAAAATAATCGGGAGACTCATATAAAAATAGTTCGCGGTTTAAACCCAGGTTTTAATTCAAATAACTTCTAGAAAGTTATTGAAATAATTTTATACAGATTAGACGTCAGAAAATTACTCTTTTGAAATACCGGTGTTTCGAGTTTATAGGTTATGATCACCATCATTACTTAAAATAAGTAGGTCCATTATTATTGTTCTGCAGTTAAGGCATAATGTATGTAGTAACATCCTATCCTAGGCCCCCCTAGATGTTGTAATTATAAAAATCGATACATTTTCTAGACGTATTAATTCGATTTTTATATAAAATTTAAGCGCATTTTATTTTATAACAGTATTAGATAATAATACAAGTTTTGTCTACAAACAGAATGACATCGTAACTTACGATTGCTGCCGAACAGCAAATATGGCGACTTACTTTGTTGACATCAATTGTATCTAAGACCTAAGTTCATCTAGGTTGCACATTTATAATTTAATTTAAAAAAAAAAAAAGTAAACATCAAAACATAAAGTGAACAAAATGTGCTTAGATTTTTTATTTTGCTAACTCATGCGGCTCTTCCAAAAATTATGGCCGAAAGTAAGCGTACACCATCATCTTCTTCTAAGGAGCCGCTGAAAATCAGGGAGACAAGCCCACTTTCACCAAGAAATGCACCTCACTCATCAGACGGTGATGGTGTGCGACGAAATTCTCGGAGCCCTATATCTCTTGAAAACGTTTCAGTTCCCGATATAGGAGATGGTAATTCCAAATGCGTTTTGTTTGTGTGTAGAATTAGAATTTATTTAGATCACTCTAGTCGAGAAGTCTCTCTAGTAGTCTCTAGCCTCTCTAGGGCAGGGGTGAGGGGATCTATTATAACATTTTTCTTCTTGTAATTGTAGTAGATCTAGATAGATCTAGAACCTAGCTAGATTGAGTAGATCTAGAATCTAGGCCTAATCTAAAAGTAAAATAATCTAAAATTCTAAATCTATCAGTCAGTAGCTACTAATCTAGATCTAGGTATTTTTTTACGAAGTGACTTTGCGTCTCGCAGAGCGTGGCCAGTAACCAAGTGGCTGCGCATCTCACAGGTTGGATTTGCCATCTTGTGATTGATACAGCTTACTTTTTCCTTTTCCAACACATCCGGTGTTGTTGAGTCAACAGTGTGCCAGCTGTAGACTGTAGTTTATAGACCTGGAGGTCCGAGTTCGAACCTGGGGTTAGCACGACCGATACTGGTTTCTTTTTTACATTTTATTTTTTTCATATTGAAAACATGACGTGTTATTCTTTTTTTTAAAATAAAATTTCCAAACATCGTCACTGGCATGATTGTTTGCTTACGTTTACTATCACATGCATGAAAAATCCCACCAAAGTCGGCGTGGTCACTGTGAGTTCAACAGGCCTAAAGCAAACATCATAGTATGAACACAAGTTCACGAGATCGTCTGTGTCTTCACCTCTCCCCCCCCCCCCCCCCCATCAAGCAAATTGAAAGTTTTTTAAGTTCACATAGGATTAATAATATAGACTTATATCTACTATCACGCATGCTAGAGGGCAGTTTGATTAAGCTAGATTGCTGCTAGATCTAGGACTATCATCTGACCCACTACTGACACTGTACTGTTTTTCTTAGGTGTTGAAATAATACACTTAAACTAGATCTAGATCTATGTCAACATTAAATTGCTAACATGAAAAAAAAAATCGGGCAGTCCTGATATCTATATTTTTTTAGATCGTGTGCCACCTAGGGTAAATGATTTAGCATAACGCAGAGCAAGCCCTGCAAGTGTGGCCTTAAGCGTAACGCGGAGTCAACCACGCAAATGCAGCCATTTTTTTAAGCAGGCCCCTAAACAATTCTAAATATAGTTAAGTAGCTTAGAACCTAGATTACAGTCTGCAGTTTATTTATCAAGTTTATTATTAGGCCTACACTACTGATTTTTATGTGATTAGCCTACTCATTAGTCATTTTTTAACTGAGTCATTAGTCTGATTGGAGCTGATTAATATATATATATATATATATATATATATATATATATATATATATATATATATATATTACATATACTATAGCATATACTATAGCGATACAGTTTATTAAATTTATATTAGTAACACTAGTCTAGGCTTACTGATTTCATATTTTAATATCATTGGGCCTAGTTATTAGTGTGATTAGAATTTAAAGCCTTGAGATCTATCATTATTATTGGGCTTAACTAATTGAAAAGTAATTATTTTACTATTGTCTTAACATTCTATCAGTATCTTATTTTTAAGTAAAATATATTAAATTAAAAGTAGATCCAAGCTTATAATAGTAATAGAACATATAAAGGCCTATCTATTAATCTATTACATGTAAATGAAATTTGAAATTTCAGGCCCAACCTTATGAGGCTCTTAAAAAAACTCTTTAGTTTTGTGGACAAAACTAATTTTGTGGACAACAAGTAATAAAGAAAACTGGAATAATCACTTGTGACTTATAAGCAGACAATATTTAACTGACTCATGCATTCAGGACTGAGATTATTAGCCTGTCTTGTAGCTAGTTTTCATAACTTTTAAAATTGTAAATCATTAAATTTTCTATTTTTTTTGTGTACTTCAGAATCTTTCACTAGAAGTTTACTGCAAGATGTATTTGAAGAAACAAGGGCTCCATCTCCAGTGGAAGGTGCTGCCAGCCTTATACTGTTACGGTAAAGATGAATACATACACGAGTTGTCGTGGTTGAGTCGGTAAAGCTCATGGTTGCTAAACCGAAAAAGTCTCGAGTTCGAACCCTCGGGCAGATGAGGCTCGTTAGCTGGGGACCGCCACTCTTCTAGGAGAGACAACTCCAAAATCAAACAACTGCTGCCTTGTAGTTTGTTCTTGGTTGGACAAAGGCTATGGAAGCAAATCCAAAAAGAAAAGCAGGCTGAAATCTGAGTCAATGGCCTCAATGGCGCATAACCAATTGACACGTAATCCTTAATTGTGATGGAAGCATGGTCGAGTCGGCAAAGCTCATGGTTGATAAATTCGAAAAGTCTCGAGTTCAAACCCTCTGGCAGATAAGGCTCGATCCCTTCCAACACTAAAAATTAAGAACGAAGAAGAAGAAGACACATATACACTGAAAACATTAAAGGTGCTTATGATGACCACAAACTCAACACTTTTTTTTTCTTTCAGAAAATCCTTGAGTTTGCAGAATTTGCACAACCACATAGCTGCAAATTTAAAGGAAGTCTCAGACAAAGAGACCAAGTCCAGTAAAGATGGTCCAGACTTTACCGTTGGGAGAATGGGCCCCACGGACTGCACGTTTGATATATCAACAAGTGTTGGGACGCTTATTGTTGATCCTGACAAATTAGGGGTATGTTGCTACTGTAAAACACAACTCCTGTCATTGTTTTAGAAATAAATACAAAATACCGTGATATTATTATTAATAAAATATACTTTCAAGTAGGACACATTATCACTGAAATACTTGTATTTGTAATGGTAAATACTGAATTATTTTGTCTACTTATTAAATACTTTTCTTAATGAAATTTCTATAGTTTAATTTATTAAAAACATAATTAATTTCCTTATAAAATAAGTTTGTAGTAAAGCGCTTTCTATAATTTTTGCTAGCCTACTAGTCAAATAAGTGGTTGTTCACTTGCTGATTAAAGTTCCCTAGGGATATTGAGGTGTTTTGTATTTTTCTTATACTGTCCACAAAGTTGCCTAATTTCAGTTCATTCAAATTTTCTTTGTTTTTCCCCCCCTCAGATTGCTAGTCATTCTAACTTCAGCAGCATCAAAGCCAGTTGTTGTGTATTTCAAGGTAAGATTAAATAGCTGGTAACATCAATGCAACATCAACGTTTACTAACTCAACACTATAAAAATATCTTTCATAACTGTAAACCACCACCTATTTCCATGGAGATTCTCTTTTCCCCCCTACATTATAATGTATGGACAATCTTAAAGCTTATTCCAAAGCAGTGAAAAACTTCAATTATCACACTTACATTGTCAGTTTAAGTACTATTTAAATTGACCAATAACCACAATCGTTTCAAGATTGATAAAAAAAAAATCTTGTTTTACTTTCTCTAGGTAAATGGGTGTATGAATTGATGCTTGCATCTAAAGGTGTGATGCAGCTAGGATGGTGCACAGCAAACTGTAGGTTCTCACAAGAGGTAACCATGGTTACAGACCTTCATTTCTTATTGTGTTGTGGCTGTAGATATTTAACTGAATATTTAAGTTGGGGGGGGGGGGGGTCAACATATTTTTTGTTAACCTGTTGGTTTTGGGGGGGGGGGGGGGGAGTTGTGTGGCGATAGCTAATTTCCTAAGTTAATAATAAATGGAAGCCTTACAGATACATTTGAACTAGAGACTTGTAGGTTTTCATCCTACCTTTTTACAGTGTGTTATGTTTTTATTATTTTTTAAGTATTTAGTCATAGTTGGAAATAAAAAATTTTCTAATGATGTTGATCAAATAGGAAGGAGTTGGAGATACTAGAGATTCTTATGCCTATGATGGTAACCGTCTTAGGAAGTGGAACATAACCACCAAAAGATATGGCCAGGTAAGGCTATTAAAAAAACCACAAAATTAAGACCTGTCATTTAGTTTAACTGGTGGTTTTATTCAGACTAGGAAGTTTGCTTGGGCCGTTAATTTAATATTTTGTGGTAAAGAATTTGTAAGATGAATGAAAACAGATTGGTTTTTAAGATGTATTTGTTTAATTATTGAAAATGTATTTGTCTATTCTTTAAAAATGTTTTTAGAAATCTGTTTTAATTTAAACACAGTAATACAGCCTACAAATGTTTATTAAAAGATTTTTACTGTGGCAGCTGGTTAAGTATATCAAGTTCATTTATTTCTTTGACAGCCTTGGATGTCTGGGGATGTTATATCATGTGCAATAGACTGTGATGAAGGCATTATCACATTTTACAGGTAACTTTATAACTGAGCTTAATGTAATTGCTGACTCATTGAATTATTTATCACATGTTGCTATTGACATGGATTACTTAAGAAGAAAATGGGATTGTTAGGAGAATTGAAATTAGTATTCTTAAAACTTGTTTTTAATAGCAGATTTTCATAGATTCAGCTGTGAATCATTGACATATGTTGGTGTTGATTTTTGTTTCAGAAATGGGGTATCGCTTGGCGAGGCTTTCAACAATGTGCGTGTCGGTCCTGGATATGCCTACTTCCCTGCAGTCAGTCTTTCATTCACAGAGAGTGTTCAGGCTAACTTTGGCTCCCTGCCACTCAGATATCCTTGTGCTAACACTGTCATGAAAACCAGTCATATCTCATTATTGTAATGCATTTTTTCTTAATGTACAGATCATCGGAATTCTCCATTATAAATACATTTATCATTTTATAATTTAAAAGAAAATCCTCTTTTATTATGCTTTACTTATTTGGTGCAACTAAGATTGGTTTTTCAAAAATGCTTCTAAACAGTAGCTAACAAAAGAGGTCATATCATTTTATATGAAGGTTTGGGGGCTTCATAAGTACACCCAGCTCTGCATAATGCCCATTATTTTGGTCTTGTTCTGACATTTACATTTATTGTAAATCTAAAATCTCTGATGCCCTTGTTACAAAACTTAAATCTTTGACGCAGTTATAAGAGTTAAATAAATCCTAACAGACTGAGAATTCTTTAGATCCCCTGTTTTCCTTAACTGAGATCAAATACCCAGTGGAAGGCTACAAGCCCCTACAGAGCCCTCGCTGTGAACCAGTTGCTCAAGCCGATCTCTTGCTGACATATCTTCAACGACTTTTGCCTAAGATGGTGGAGGACGACCAGGTGTGTTGACATTGGTAACTCTCTCACATAGACATTACCAGGTCAACCGTTTGATATTTAGCCAGGCAGACTGGAACAGGGTTAAGGGTCAAGCATTTCTCTCACCCATGTTACCAGCAGCTAGACACATGGGTTTCTGCCAGGCTTTTTTCTCCCCCCCCCCCAGTGCATTAACCACCTGGTTTGGACATGAGGGGCAGCTTGGTCTGAATACACTCTACTGTCTCAAGCCTGGGTTGCAAACTTGTAACTTTTGGTTTATTGTAGACCATGGCGTTCCCTATTTAAAACAACTAATTAAACTGATGCAGTTTAATTAGTTATAACAATGCATTCTCGACAGTTAAATACTTTGATAGTAACAGATGTAGATCCCAACTGCAAAAGTTAGACATCATAGTTGTTATATATTTAATCAAGATTTACTATAAAAGTCTTGTGGCATATTTTATCATATGTTAAACCAAACTTTACAGACAGACAATCTTTACTTTATTTTGCTTCACTATTTTGAATGAAAACAATCTTAAATTTGATAAATTTTAACGAAAACACAATTTTAACTATAATACATTTTAATGAAATAAATTTTCAAAATACTACATTTTAATGAAAATAATTATAAATATAATAAATTTTTATGAAACCAATTTTCAAAATACTAAATTTGAATGAAAACAATTGTAAATATAAAAATTTCAAGCATAATGTTTCTGTTCATCCAGTGCAATAGACAACATGGAATATCTAGCAAGAGTCAATATTCAACAACAGTTTTATCAGACAGGAGGTCACATCAAGCAACATTGACTCTTGTTGCCTCACATATATTTCATAAATTAGCTCCATTATTGGTAAGTTATTATTCCAGTTATCAATACAACAAGCTTAGGATGCAGATGGGTCCAAATCAAAAAAATTACTTTTATATGAAAAAAATATATATTCAGATTCTTTTATGTGAAGTTTTAAATAGCCAAAACTTCTACAGATATTTTGTTTACCTTTTTAGGTTTTAAAAAATGTTCTGTTATTCATGCTGCAGTATCTGCCAATGTTATTAGAAGTACTGAGTTTAATTTCATGGAGTTATTTTAAGTGTTTTGATTTTTATAACATTGTATTAAAATTTTCAGAGAATACCCTATGTTGTAGATAAATGTTTGATAAAGTTACTACTGGATCTATGTGACTATCAGCACTGGCAAGATGAACAAGCTTTAATCCACAAACTGTTAGATCTTATCTGGATGTTATTGCAGGTCAGAAATTTGTTCATGGCTCCTATGCAGCTAAAAAAAGATAATTGACCCCAATCAATCAATGACCACAAACAGTCACTAACGACAATATGTCCATCAACAACAGCAGCCACTGACTACAAACTATCACTGACCTCAAACTATCACTGACCTCAAACTATCACTGACCACAAACTATCACTGACCACAAACTATCACTGACCACAAACTATCACTGACCACAAACTGAACTACACAGGAACCAGAGTTGAGGGACTGCCTGGAACACCTGGCAATATCACTGCTCAATGGCTATAGGTACCACCCCTTTCATCCCGAGTTTATTTATCCTGTGAGTTGGGCATTTTCATATCTTTACTTCACTAGTTCATTTATACTCTTGATGCTGTTTTATATTTATCTAAAATTAAACATTTTCTGATAATCATTTATCATTTCTTGTAATTAAATAAATATCTTTAAATTTTGCTTTCTAGAAAAAATTCTTGGCCTTGACCTTGTCGGTACTAAAACATCAGAGAACCTGCAGACATCTCTTGACAGCTGTTTTATATCCTTTAGTTTTTATAGATTTTAGTAACCATGTACATTTTTAAAAATTCTATTATTTTGTTTAAAAAGTTATTTATTTTTATAGTTAGTTATATACATTTAATCAAAGTAGAAATATTTTAATTGTAGGAGAGATGGATTTGATAGGGGAGTGTATGTTTGTATTTGTATATGTGTCTTGGGTACCAAATGAAGATGTCAGAAATATTTCCTTGACTCCGCCCACCTTTGAACGAGTCAAGTTCCCTGTGTTCATGCACATAAAGGCACCAGATGACCCTAACCTTGCCAGATTGCTGCCTTCAGTCTGGTGGGACAAACATATGAAGGTAACACATTTCATAGATTACTCCAAAACATATGAAGGTAACACATTTCATACATTACTCCAAAACATATGAAGGTAACACATTTCATACATTACTCAAATTGAGGAAAGTTTATCCAAACGATGGAAGTTGTTGATACTGTATGGTACCATCACATTTGTTAATTACCATTTTAGTGGTTTTTTATTATTTTAAAAATTTTTTTTTCTACAAACTTGAGTCCTGGATCCGAACTATAAACTTGAGGGAAGCAATAGTGTGCTGTACCACTCAATCATGACATCTCCTTTACTCATTCAATAGGATTACCTAATTACATTTTTCCCAAGTTTTCATTGCCGTTGTATTAAAATAACTGGGCTTTTAATGACAAAACCCTCTTACGCCTCAATTAAAGCAATGATAAATTTTGCTGATCAAGCATGTTAATTTTGCCGATCAAGCATGTTAAATTTTGCTGAGCAAGCATGGTAAATTTTTCTGATCAAGCATGGTAAATTTTGCTGAGCAAGCATGGTAAATTTTGCTGATCAAGCATGTTAAATTTTGCTGATCATTCAAGCATGTTAAATTTTGCTGATCATTCAAGCATGTTAAATTTTGCTGATCAAGCATGGTAAATTTTGCTGATCAAGCATGTTAATTTTGCCGATCAAGCATGTTAAATTTTGCTGAGCAAGCATGTTAATTTTGCCGATCAAGCATGGTAAATTTTTCTGATCAAGCATGGTAAATTTTGATGAACAAGCATGGTAAATTTTGCTGAGCAAGCTTGTTAAATTTTACAGAAAGATGAAGATGACAGTGATGACAGTAGTGAAGAGGAAGATGTTGATGCAGCGCAGGCTGATGAGGATAAAAAAAGTTTTATGGAGTGTTGTGAGAGACTGGGGGAGAAAGTTGAAGGTGAGTACTCCATCAGCTGGTAGAGTCTAGCATGTGAGGATGTTTGATACTGTCAGACTAATGTCAGTCACCTAATTGTATAAACTACTTATTTCAATTTTTTCCAGGTTAAATCTTTTTTTGTTTTAAATTAAATTAATTTTTAGATTCAGGTGTAACAAAACTTTATGAAACATTTATGACAATTATTGCTAGAGTCACATTGAATGAAATAATACAGTGCAAGTATTTTTTTTTAGAACTGGAGTCTATGCAAGTTGAGCTACTGAAGTGTCTCCTGATGAACACAGACAGAGTGGATGTAAGTCAACTCTTTACGTAAATCTTCAAAAGAAAATTTTTATGGCTGGTTAATGCATTATACAGCAAGTTGTTTTAACAAGAATTTATAAAAATATATTTATATATATTGTTATACTTAATTAACTAAAATTATTATTTCCAGAATAAAACATCAAGAGATATTTTCCTGGACAAGTTGAAAATATTCTTGAAAGAAAACAGTGGCTTCACCAGGGTATGACAATTTTATTGATCTGTTAATTTTTTTTTTACAAATTGCTAAACACATTTGTATCTACATTTACTAAAAGCATAAGCCCTATTAAAAATTTAACTTAAGAATAAGGTTTGTAGTTTTGAATGAGAAGTTATTGTTTTATAAATGTAAGTTGGTAATTTATTATTGGTAGGTGTTTAAACAATTTTAAAAAAAAATGCTTTTGTTTAAATGTTGCTAATTAAATGTTTGTGTAATTAAAAAATTCAATATATTAATTCTGTGGTATAAAATGAATGTTTACGTACAACACATGCCATTGATTTGATTGTCTTTTGTTCCCCATAGCTGCAGATTGCCCAATGTGCTCTGCCGGTCAGCCTGTGTTTCTTTCATCGACTTGTGCAAGCCCTTAGGTTCTATTGGGATCATTTTTCTGCCGAGGATCCAAACTTCCTACCTAGCTCAGGTATTCAAACACACCTTGTGAATAGTTTTGTTACTAGTCAGCTGGGTAAATTGTAACTACTGTCAAGAAAAAGGTAGACTTAAAAAAAATTATAAAAAAATGAAAAAAATTAGTTTTGGTAAACACTAGGTTTGTAGAAATTTAAAAACCACTCCTCAAACTGAAAAGGGATAGATTTATTTATGACCTAAGCTTGTGCACCAATTTACATTATGACCTTAAAGTATTGAAATAGTAGATATGTACACAACCCACTGTTCTTTCTTTTCATACAACAACAGAAGCATTTATGCCAATTCAGTGCTTCTGGAATGATACAAGAGATTACTATGAGCTTCAACGATGTGGGGGCCTTATGAGTCACTTAAATCGACAACTTGGCAGTAAGTACATTGTTAAGTATTTAAAACTTTTTGTGTTGTGCACAGCTGAAAGAAAACTTTATTTAGTTTTTCTAATAGTTTAAAATTACTTTGTAGTATCTTTATTTTAAATGTGTATTTATTTTAACCATAAACTCAACTTTAATTTTTTTTTTTTTTGTTTCATGTGCTATTTTTACTTTTTTTTTAAAGCTGAGGTAAACAGAGCCCAAGGGATTGAAGTACAGGAAGATGGAAGAGTTGTCAAAAAATCATCCAAAGATGCTGGTGAGGTCTTAGTTGATGCATTGATGCTGCATTGTACTGTTCTTAACTGTAACATTATCATTGGCCCACAACTAGTTTTAAAGTATAGATATTCTGTTTGCGTTTTGTTTGAAAATGTCATCTTTGGGTTTTCCACACTTTTAGGCAAACCCAGTGAAGATTTTTATCCAAAGCTGGAGATGCCTAGTGGGAATTCTCTTCTGGATCTCTTAGACTGTGTTGTACTACTGTATCATGTAGCTGCCCACAAACAACTAGGGAAGGTAAGGCTGGGTTTGATAATTCTGCAATAAGCTCTTTTCAGGAATAACTTCATAAGTTCCTAACAAATATAACATTTTTATAAAATAGAAATTCTATATAGAATTTATTTTTATCATATATACCAAGGGTCTCTGAACTTTTCAGTTTGAGGGCCGCATTAACTACCAGATTTCAGTTCGGGGGCCAGTTTCTTCCAGGCATGTCTTTGATTTTTCTGGGCAAAGTTCCTCAGCCATCACCAACAAACGATTTTTCCTTGGACAAAAAGATCTCAGTGGGCCATAGTTTGGAGACCCCAAATTTAAACTGTGTTTTTATTTTTCATTGCATGTAAAATACTTGCAAGTTTTCAAGATATCTAATAAAATAATTGTTCATTAAAATTTGTTTCTAGATGTGTGCCTTAAGGGACAGCATGCAGGACTACATCCAGAATATGAGGGACACAGAAAGAAAGTTAAAGAGGTGTCCTGATGGTGTAAGTTTATTTTATATTAGGTGTTCTGATGGTGTAAGTTTATTTTATATTAGGTGTTCTGATGGTGTAAGTTTATTTTATATTAGGTCATGATGGTGTAAGTTTATTTTATATTATGTGTCCTGATGGTGTAAGTTTATTTTATATTAGGTATCCTGATGGTGTAAGTTGATTTTATATTAGATGTCCTGATGGTGTAAGTTTATTTTATAATAGGTGTCCTGATGGTGTAAGTTTATTGTATATTACGTGTCCTGATGGTGTAAGTTTATTTTATATTAGGTCATGATGGTGTAAATTTATTTTATATTAGGTGTCCTGATGGTGTAAGTTTATTTTATATTAGGTCATGATGGTGTAAGTTTGTTTTATATTAGGTGTCCTGATGGTGTAAGTTTATTTTATATTAGGTCATGATGGTGTAAGATTATTTTTTTTATTTAAATGATTTGACAATATGAATGTGACTTTCAGCTGGAAGAGGTCAAAGTGCATCTGTCTAATGCAAAGAAAGTGTTTGAGGATAAAATTGTTGAACAAGCTCGACAGATGGTGTGGGTGGCCAAAGTCATTTACTCTAAGGTTGGTATGGGTGGCCAAAGTCATTTACTCTAAGGTTGGTATGGGTGGCCAAAGTCATTTACTCTAAGGTTGGTATGGGTGGCCAAAGTCATTTACTCTAAGGTTGGTATGGGTGGCCAAAGTCATTTACTCTAAGGTTGGTATGGGTGGCCAAAGTCATTTACTCTAAGGTTGGTATGGGTGGCCAAAGTCATTTACTCTAAGGTTGGTATGGGTGGCCAAAGTAATTTACTCTAAGGTTGGTATGGGTGGCCAAAGTCATTTACTCTATGGTTGGTGTGGGTGGCCAAAGTCATTTACTCTAAGGTTGGTATGGGTGGCCAAAGTCATTTAAAGGTGGGTATGGGTGGCCAAAGTCATTTACTCTAAGGTTGGTATGGGTGGCCAAAGTCATTTACTCTAAGGTTGGTATGGGTGGCCAAAGTCATTTACTTTAAGAAGCTTTAGAAGAATCTAGTAGTGGGCAGTACTTAAAGTTAGCTAAAATATACTCTATAATAAAACCCTGTTTCATGTTCAATGCTAATCTTGTTTAAAGGATTAAATTAAATAATTAAATTTATGTTTACAAAATGCCTGTACCATTATAGCAAAGGAATAATTGTTTTTAAATAAGAAATATTTTCTTTGTTTCTAGTCAAAGCAGAGAGATCTAGCCTGGCTGCTCAAAGTTGTTCTAAAGACTGTAGAGAAAGCGTCGGCCTATCACAAGCTGTTCCAGTATGTTCCAGAGTTTTACATACAGACAGCAGTCAACACTTTCAACGCACTAAAGAATTTCTTACACCCTACCACAAGCTTTCATATTATTCCAGGTAGGTTGTTTTTTAAAACATATCTAGAGATTTATAAATCCATGTTTTGAGGTAAACAGTATTAAGTATAAAAGTGCTAATTTAAATGCTCACCTTTGTTAGTGATTATAGTGAACTAATTTATTCACACATTCAGTATGCTGTTAGCCAATTTACCATTATTTACATGGACATTTCTTGCATATCTTATACATTTTAACTAATGTATGAAATAAATGAGAGGGATGGAGTGGTCTAGTCCTAACCCAAAAGTTCCTAGATCTGGTCAGAACTGGAGACTTTAAAATTATGATTTTACATTCCACCCAGTTCTTAGTCAAAGAAAGATGGCTGGGAAAAGACTGATGAGCTCTGCTTTGCAGACCATCTGTCCTGTAAAGTAAAGAGATGTGCTAAACCTATTGACCAGATATATGCCTATATTTATTAAGCATACACAAAAGTTTACTTGCAAATGTTGGCAATAAATGCTTTAACAAAACATTTTTTCAGATCTTCACAACCTTCTTACCCGCTACGCCACATTCCTGGTTAACCACTTCTTTGATCCAAGGCTGGTTAGCAATGGTAGGTTCTTTAGGTAGCAATGGTAGGTTCTTTCGGGAACAATGGTAGGTTCTTTAGGTAGCAATGGTAGGTTCTTTAGGTAGTAATGGTAGGTTCTTTAGGTAGCAATGGTAGGTTCTTTAGGTTGTAATGGTAGGTTCTTTAGGTAGCAATGATAGGTTCTTTAGGTAGCAATGGTAGGTTCTTAAGGTAGCAATGGTAGGTTCTTTAGGTAGCAATGGTAGGTTCTTTAGGTAGCAATGGTAGGTTCTTTTGGTAACAATGATAGTTTCTTAAGGTAGCAATGGTAGGTTCTTTAGGTAGCAATGGTAGGTTCTTTAGGTAGCAATGGTAGGTTCTTTAGGTAGCAATGGTAGGTTCTTAAGGTAGCAATGGTAGGTTCTTAAGGTAGCAATGGTAGGTTCTTTAGGTAGCAATGGTAGGTTCTTTAGGTAGCAATGTATGGTTGAATGGTAGAGCATTTGACTGCTAACCCGAAAGTCTGGACTCTGTATTACGTCCCTGAGTCCACCCAGCTTTGATTGGTTGCTGACCGGATAGGGAGAGTAAAAGTGGCTGGGATAGTGCTGACCACACTATTCCTCCATATTCTGTGGTCACTGATAGTGAGCTCTATTTTACCTGCCATGTGGACCTTAAGATTCAAAAGGGTACTTTACTTTTTTGAAAGTTAGGTCGTGTAGTCTTTTGATCACATTGCTTAGCTGATTCTATAGTCAATATCAAAGTGTATCTTCCTTTTTGCTTGGGTTTTATTTTACAATTTTAACAAACACATAGGAAAGGTCAAGATATCAGTGTTGAAAATAAGGTCAAGGTTGTTGAAATTTATAGATCTCACAGAGTTTGTTTTTCTTGCTTTTATTTAAAAGTCTTGTGGGTATGCAGCCCTTTAAAGATAACTGTTGTATTACTAATCTTAAACCTAGGCTTAATGAACCTACAAACTACATTTGTTCCTAACTCATGTTCTAAACCTTGAATTTGTAGACCTAAAGGATACATTAGTCCAAGCTCTAGCCTGCCTCACCTGCTACCCTGATACACTCAAAGTGCTGGAGGAGCTGCCAATGGAGAGGTCAGTGCTACAGGTTACATGCAAGATTGTCATAGCATTACTAGTCCTTAGGATTATCATAGTATGATATTTATCTGTTATTGCTTAGGTTTTTTAAGATTTTATAAATATTTATGGTTTTAGCAGTTTCGTTTTTTAAAATGACTATTTATCATTTTGTGTTATGGGATCCTCAAAAAATGTTGCTTCAGTTCTTCTTCACCACACTCAGTAATCGAAATCATTTGAAGAATTGAAACATAATTTAGAGAAAGATGGTGATAAAAGACCAATGATATTTTGGTCCTAGGCTTTCTATTTATTTAAAAAAAAAACACCTCAAATATGTGAAAAATGATTAAATTAAATCAAAATTGGAGAAAACATAATTAAATAATAGTGATGTTTTTTAATTTTAAGATTTTGTTTTGGAATATTTTCAGACGTATATCAATGCTTCAGTCATTGATAGCCCCTTATGAGAACAGATCCTGGGCCCACACAAACTGGATTCTTGTGAGAATTTGGAAGGTAAGAGCTACTTTATTGTATATTTGTAAATGAGAAACATTGTTTCTAATTTTTTGAACAAGTCATTAACTACTTATATATTCTTATTATTTTTAAAAAGCCTTGAATGATTAAATTTTTAAATTATAAACAACGGATGTGGTTATTGTTATTCTATAATTCCTGTTTCAGGGATGTGGTTTTGGCTATCGCTATCGCTACTTGCCAAATTTGATCCCCCACAAGGCCCAGCCTACAGAGTTCAGCTATGTTAGTCTACAAAGTAATGCTTGCATTTTTTGTTGTTTGTGTGATTTATACAAACCATCAGCATCAATAATTATATCATCAATCATTATATTTGTATCAGTTCTTGATACAGGGAATAAAAAAAAAAATAGCTCTTAAATATCTGATTATAATTTTTTTTTAATGAGAAACCCCAATAATAAAACCTTTCAGTTATTGTCTTTTTATTTCATTGTTGCTTTTTTAAAATTAATTACTGTCCAATCATTTCATTGTTACTTCTTGAATGCTGTTCTATCATTCATTATTTCACTGTTACTTCCCCATCACTTTGTTGTTACTGTTTCTTACTTTTTTATCTTTTAAATTCTCATCAGAACCATGTCCGTCTAGAGAGTTCCAAAGTTTACTCGCAAAAATCTTGCTGGATGATGAAGCAAGATCTACAAAATTTTTAGATTCTCTAATGAACCAGTTGAACTGGTCATTCTCTGAATTTGTGGGCATTATACAAGAGGTTGGTTGTACAATTAAACGTAGCATTTTTTAGACAAAGAACAGTTGAATTTGTGGGTATTATATGAGAGGTTAGTAGAAAAATTAAACTAACAGATTTCAGACAATAAATTGATTCTGTGTAAACTTTTTATCATTTATTCAATAGTACCAGTTGAAGCTGGTCATTTTCTGCATTGGAGGGCATTTTCTAAGACCAGCAATTTTAGACATTAAATCATTTCTCTGTTTTTATATATTGTCATATAGGTATTCACCATAGCCTTTACATCTGACAGTCAAAATAAAAGTCTAAATCAACCAACAATAAATTTTTTTTTCAAAGGAATCAAAATTTGCTTAGTAGCACAGATTTACTTCCTAAAATGTACTCTCTAAAAGAAGTAATAATTTTTCTTCTTGCACATTGAATTCAGTGAAACACTATATTTTACTTTTGACATCTCTAATGTACTCAACTTTGATAGGTAGCCTAGGTTGTGTGTATTAAAACACTGTGTTGACCTACTTTAAAAAATACCTGTATGTGCTAGCAGATATTTCAAAAGAGGGTCATTTTATGACTACCAAAACCTGGCTTAAGATTTGAATACACAGAGCCATATAACCTTTTTATAATGGATAAAGTTTTAATTTTGTAGATCCAGTCACCAGAACAGAGCCATATAACCTTTTTATAATGAATAAAGTTTTAATTGTGTAGATCCAGTCACCAGAACAGAGCCATATAACCTTTTTATAATGGATAAAGTTTTAATAGTGTAGATCCAGTCACCAGAACAGAGCCATATAACCCTTTTATAATGGATAAAGTTTTAATTGTGTAGATACAGTCTCTGGCCACCAGAACAGAGCCGTTGCTGTTAGAGTCTAGGCAAATTAAAATCTGCGCTGCCTGCTTTGAGATCTCCGTCTGCCTGTTGAGAGTTTTGGAGATGGTCGCCACTGTTGCCCCACAGGTCTTTACTGATTGGTCAAGACCATCTGCTGAACTTTTCCTCAAGAGGTTAATGCAGGTAACCATTTAAATGTAACCAGTTTTGTTTATTTTGATCATTACCTTTTGTATTATTTTAAACGATATTTTCCATTTTTTCTTTATCTGCTGTTAGTTTCAAATATTTTCAACTTAACTAGATTTTTTCATTGTTTATTTTAAACAAAAATGTTGCTGCTTCTTTGCAATTATTTTTTGTTTGTTTTTAACTTAATATTATTTTTTAAATCTTCGCAATTCATTTTTAACCATCATTTCCTTAAGTTTAATTTTCACTGTTTTTTTTTAAAATTTTGCCGATTTTGAACTGAAAGTTTGTAGTTAGCTGAGTGTCAGTACTTATATTTTCTTGCATCTCTGTTTATCTACAGCTTTTAAGCCAGATCATGACCAGGGTCACTATGAAGGATGGAGCATTTGAAAACACAGTTGCTTTACCAATACAAGGTATTCTTTTTTTTCTCTATAGAATTGCGGTACACTAATGTGAAATATTCACCTTCAAATGATATGCCCAAAAGGGTTAAAATATATAAAGATGGCTGACCATGATTAAAAAGCCTGTTTACTTTTTGTTTAGGTTTAGACAGTGTAACCTTCTACCCAATACTTACAGTTACTGTTGGGGTCATGGCCCAACTCATTGTTAGATGCGGGGGTAGCAGGTAAGTCTCCCATTACTAAACAATTAACATTTTAACTACACACTTTTTTCAACACCTCTGTACAATAGGAGCCAAAAATTTTTTTTTTAATTATAAAGTTTTAAAATATGATTTTTATAAGATTAAATCACTTTTATTATTTAAGTTTAAGACCATTAAATACAAAAAAGAATGGACATTTTAAAAAAAAGTAAAAAATATATTATTGCTATGATTTAAAACGAAATAGATTAAACCTGAAAAGTTGCCAGATGTCATATAACAAAACAATAAAAACTTGAGTAACGATAGAAACTCTGGTATCCCCAGCCAGGAGAAAGCCACCAGGTCCCTGCTTGTAGACTCCAGCTTCTCACTAGAGTCCCTCAAGTTTGTCCTGGCCAACAATGTTGGCAGCAAGCAGGACAAGATCTTCTCCTTTAGGAAGTGTAAGTAGTGGAGAATTATGTTTTCCCTGAGATATTAAAGCATCATGTATTACATCCACTGGGTACAATGAATTTTTCCACCAAACTATATGTATGTATATATATATATATATATATATATATATATATATATATATATATATATATATATATATATATAAGTAGGCTATATATTTAGATTCTAGTTTTTTGCCTTACAGGTTAAACTTCATGTTTGATCATATTAGTGCTCTTTACTTGATTGACAATTTTATACATTGTCTGATGTATTACAAATCCTATTTTCAAATTAATAATAAGGATATGATAGTTTTATGTTTCATATGATGACTGTTCATTTGTAATTTCCAAATATGTGGCAATACTTTCATTCCCTGCTCATGATAAACTAAATAATAAATAAATGGTTTCTTTAATCTGATTGACTATTGGATGAATGGACCTTGAAAATCAAGTCACAAAGCCTGGGACCCTCTCTGTACACACAGCAGATAGACTGAAGGGAGAGGCGTTACCTATTGAACTTTTTAAGATAAGCTAATAGCAAATTAAAATGTAAAAGCTTAAATAACATTCACAAGAATGGGTTTTTTGTGTGTGTAATTTAAGATGATGAAATAAGTCAAGAGGAGATTGAGGATGTGGAGAAACTTTTGGCCTACCTCACCCATCAACAGGTGGCTCTGTCTGCTACTCAAGAGGTAAGTCACCTTCTCATGGTTACCATTTGACCAATCAGAATACACTTATCTAGGTTTGGTAATTTACGTACAAAACAATCTATAACATTAGTTTAATATTGTGTTAGCATCTTGAACATTGACATGTAGAAAAATGTTGAGATTTTAAAGTTGCCATGGGTGTTCTTCATACATGTAACCACACACCCAGGCCAATGTTGTTTAGGCGGTAGTTATGATGTGCTTTGTTGATATTAAAAATGTAATCATTATATATTTTATTGCTTAAAAATATTTTTAAAAAATGGTATATTAAAATGGTTATTTCAATGAGAAGTAAAAGGTTCTGAACTGCAATGTCATTTGGGGGATAGGGGTAGCCAGTTTTTGTTTTAATTTTGTATAATTATAGGGAAGGGGGTTGGTAAATGTTAATTTAAAAAATGTGACCTCATTAATGAATGTAAAATGAAATTTAAACTTTTGATTCCTCAGGATGTGAAAGATGAAGACCTGTGTACCATATGCTATGCAAATCCACAGCAAGCCATATTTGTTCCTTGCGGTCACACTTCTTGCAGGTAATAAGCAAATTTATTCTGAAGTTGAATTTTTTAGAATATAAATGCGTAAACTTCAATAATGCAGCACTTTTTTTTACCTATAAAAATGTGTTGGTAATAAAAATACTCACATTCTAAGATTTTTAATGACATGAAATTTCTTTTTAGAAATTAACAATTTTTATTTAAATATTTACCTTTTAAATTTAATGTAAGCAAATCTGTCTTGATATACAATACATCATTGAATTAAGTTGATGTAGGCCTACACATATAGTTGTTTTTTAGCGTACAAAAAAAAGTGTACTAACTCACTGCAATCATCAGATACTTTTTGAAAAATATATTTAAAAAAAAATATTTGTCATTACACCCTAATAAATATGTTAGGGTTAACAAATTTTTATGTTTACCTAAATTTATCAACACGAGAACAAGTTTACTAGTCATTCTATTTTTTTTCGCATGATCTACATTTTCTTTGTTTATTCTTCTTCTTCGTTCTTAATTATTAGTGTTGGAGGGGATCGAGATTTATCTGCTAGTGGGTTTGAACTCGAGACTTTGTTCGAATTTATCAACCATGAGTTTTGTGCCGACTCGACCACGCCTCCAACACAATTAAGCGTTACGTGTCAACTGGTTATGCGCCATTGAGGCCATTAACTTCGATTTCAGCCTGCTTTTCTTTTTGGATTTGTTTCTATAGACTTAGTCCAACCAAGAACAAACTACAAGGCAGCAGTTGTTTAATTTTTGGAGTTGTCTCTCCTAGAAGAGTGGCTGTCCCCAGTTAACGAGCCTCATCTGCCCGAGGGTTCGAACTCGAGACTTTTCAGTTTAGCAACCATGAGCTTTGTTTATTGAATCCACACTATTATTAAAATAAATTTCTTTTTGATTTTTCAAAAATGAAAAATAAAAGTCATTGATAACGATTTGATTCTTTCACACATAGTAAGTTTTAAAACCATCACCCTTGTTTTATTTCTCCCAGGACCTGCATCACACAACAGCTGTTGAACAAAAAGGAATGCTTCTTCTGTATAGCCACCATCACTAAAGTCACTGATACCAAAGGTCGCCATATTTTAAGAGAGCATTTCCAGACTGCAAAAAAACCTTAACGATAACCATCATTACTGGGATGTTTTTTTTAATAGTTGTTTTAAATATTTAAGAAGATATTGGCTGTGTGTTATTATGTATAAAAAAAGGAAAATTTTTTATGTGAAAGTAACAATTTCTTACAGTGTACAACTTAGTTCATATATAGCCATTACACTTTGTTTTTACTGTAATACAAACTTGGCTGTGCATATTTAGAATATACAGCACTAAATTGATTTTGAGAGTGACCTTATTACAATTTTTTGGAAGATAGGCCAGTAGAATTTTGAATTTTATTATTAACTGAACTTACTTTATAATGATCCCTGTATATTGTATACTAAAACAGAAATTTGAAAAAAAAACGTTTTTAAAGCTATTTTGGAAATAGATATTTACCATAATGAAATATCAGTCAAACAGTGTACTAATTTTAAGTTACAAAGAATATATTGCCTTTGTATTGTTGTAATTAAAGTAAAACATTGTTTTAACTCAGAATATGTTTATGCCACTGTGTTATATATTCATTGATTCTAACTTTACTGTGTGATATGATGTTAAAGATTATATAGCGTTGAAGCATCTTAGGGTAAATGGCTTGTGGTGATAGCAGTTGTTAGGCTAACAAAAAATTTGACATGAAGTCTTTCAATGAAATGTGGTTTAGTTTTGTACCTGCTATTGGATGTATGCTTACAAAAGAGTGAAATTTGTGTAGCTTGAATATAAAATGGGTTTTCGAAAACGTGTTTAAGATTTTTTATTAAAATAGATTAATCACAACCCCCAAAGGTAAAGTTTTAAGTGATAACATTTAACCTACACTACATGTACAAATGTTTCTACATGTCATTGTTAACTATAAATCTTTTCTGAGAACCTATAACTGTGTCGATATTTTACTAAGTCCATGTCACCAAGTGCAACTGAATATTGTTTATTATATTTTATATATGTGTGGCTTTTTGTGGGAAAAGAGAAAGCTCATTATTTGTCACTTTACACGTTTTGGAAACAGGTTTTTGGATTATGTACTTGGATCATGTAACACAAAAACTACAAATCTTTAAAATATTTAAAAATATAACTGTTATGTACATACATGTTTTCTTGAAGTAGTTTTTTTAGTTTTATATACACATTTGGTATTGTGCTAATGAACTAAATTAGTAAAATATTAATACTTGGTTTCACAAATTAATAACAAAATTTTCTGACTGAGAAAAAAAAATAGTGCTCAGCACATCATTATGGTCACACATCAATCAGTTTAAAATTTCTTTTGTGTTTTTATCTTAAGTGGCTAAAAATGCAATTGCACATGAATATAATTATTCTGCTTTTGTTCTGATTTTGTATTATAAAAATCAACTATAGTTTATATTAAAAATCAGGATAGCAAAGGTAAGCCACAGAGATTTTGGTATTGGTCGTATCAAATCTAACCACACACACACATACAGGCAACTGTCCACTGATAAAAAATTTTCGAACATTGTTTGCAGATTATCAACATTTAATAGGTAAACACCTCTCATAATGTGCAGGAGATTGTAGGGCAGCCAATATGCATTGGTGATTATACATAACATTCTGAGACATAATTTATTGCTATCAGAACTGGTGGGGAAATGTCTAGTTTTTTAAAAATTATTTATCTGAATTGTTTGAATTTAGTCTGTTGTGTAAATATATTTTTTTTACAAAGTAGTCCTACATTTTAAAATCAAGATATATTTGTAAGTGCTAATGCATGCCCTATAAATTATCTTGTCTCCAACCAGTTTCCTGACTTCGGTCAGAAACTTTTTATAAAAAGTTATTTTTTAATAACTGATAGAAATAATTTGGGTTTATTTTTTTTTTTAAAATCAAAATGTGCTCAAGAAAAAGAAGACAGTCTGCTTATAATACTCTACTTCAACATGTATAAATAATCTGATTTGTAGAACTAAAAAATGCATCATTGTGAAGTAGTGCTGAATTGATAAGTTTTAAAAAAAAAAAGCCATATCTGTTTATTGAAATATCTTGTTTTTGTATTTTGATATCTTTTTCTAATTGGTTAAATGTATGTTGAGTGTTTTTTTTCTTCTATGTAATCTCTCATCTGAAAGAAAATATTCCAAAAAAAAATGAACAACAATAAGGAAGTAAAGAAGTGACAAACATTTTTTTGGTCTTTTTTTTTTCCAGTTAATTGTTAGAGGTGACCATTTCATTGGAAATGATAAAAGTGCTGCTTACATACTTTATATTCACCTACCTACAGTGGGGTATGAGGTGCATTGCATACATTTCTGGGACTATTTATGGAATGGAATTGATCATGAAGTGTGACTTAACTCAATACTGATCACCACATTAAAACAATTTTATTAACGTGTTTTGTGTAAATTATCCATGTGTTCAGTAAAATGTGCATGGTTACTTGGTATACTGGTGGTCCTCGAGGCAGATGAAGAAGAGTTCAGCTGTTTCTGAGAGCGCGGCATAGTGTGATCAACGCTATGCCCAGCCACCATTAATCCCCAACGTGAGTCAGGTATTCATTAGAGCTGGCGGGCTCAATGATGTCATATTGAACCAACCCAATAAGTTTGATACATGGTAGGAAATACTTAAACAATCATCTATCCTTGTATAGTTAGTTTTCAAATGCAACACACTAGAAAATATAAAGGTAATAAAAACAATACAAGTGTTATATTTAGGTATATAGTTTATTTTATTGTCACTGAACAGCAGTTAATGAACATTTACACCCTAGCCTAACTGTCATGGTAATAAATCTTTCATGTTACTCCCACACCGGTACAGCAGAAAATAACTTTTGGTTGTTTACATTAGCTACAGCACTTATTTAAAAAAAAAGTTTTGATTAGTAAAAAAAACTTCACTGGCAAAATATTCTGTAACAAATAATTTTTCATTGTAATGCTTTAGCTTTACAATTTTTAGAGATCATATTTACACAGATATTGATTTTACTTCACAAAAGTTAAGTAACAGTAGAACATACAACTTTTTATTATTAGCTCCAATGTTTACATTCTTATGCACAAATATATACACTGTACATTATAAGCCTGTATGGCTAAGCACATACAAAATATGAAGTTGTTGATACCTTAGTTTCATTTTAAATGCAAATTTAAAAAAAGCCCTATTTAGGCTAGTGGTTTCCAAACTTTTGTGATCACACCTTCCTAAAAAAATATATTGGCTCCTCCCTTCGGCCTTTCCCCCATAAAACATATTTTACCTATTTGTTTAGTTATGTGTATTTGTATGAGCGAATGGTCTATACTTCTAAAGAACAAATAATTTTTAGTTGCACGATAAAAGGTTAAAACAAGATCCCACTATGGGATAGGTAAAGGCAATATGAAACATTGCAAAAATCATTTTGCATTAGATAAAAAAAAATATTACTTTGGTGATAAAACTAATGTAATGAATATAAGTATTTATTTTTAAATACATTTTTGTTAACCTAAATGATACATTTCTGTTAAACTATCTCCCCCCCCCCCCCCCAGCATCTGTATGCACCTACTTAGGTATCCAAGCATCCCGGTTTGAAAACACTGATTCAGGCTGAAAAACAAACACAAAATCTGCTGTATAAAAAATTTCTTTTTTCCTAAGTAGTCCATAACATTAAAATTTGCAAATGCCAAATGCATCAAAATGTTTGTACTTATTAAAAACTTAAGACAAAATGTATTACAAATGTATTGCATACTTGCTTTATTTAATGTTCACAGAAATTACAATAATTCTAGTGCCAAAAGTCACAAAACATAAATTCTGTGTTGATCGTGATAGAAATACTGTAAAAATATAAATTTGACTAACCTAAAGGCTTGCATACTCATTAATACAGCTACTACTGTTTCATAAAACACTGACTTGTATACTTTAAGAATGGACTTCTCTATTGCTCATTAAATACAAAATTAAAAACATGAAATTTGTATAAAATAAAAAATGTATGAAACAATAAATTCACCAGTAAAGAAAAAATTGAGAAAAGATATGTAATAAAAAGTAAAACTTGTGAAATGTGCTGTAAAAGTAGAAAAATAGATCCCAATATTAAGTAGATTATTGTTATCACTCTAGAAATAGATTTTAAGGCGATGTTACATAAGTAGAATGATCAAAACAGAAACCCAAAGATAACAATCGAGACTCAGTCAAGATTATTTGTGACTCTCTTAAGACTCATTCGGCACCTAAAGGTAGTTTTTTCAGCTTTTTAAATGCCATAAAACATTTCATACATTGATAAAAATCTGGCATCTTTATACCAAACCTAAATTAATTTCCAAAATCAATAATACAAAGCTCCCCACCCCCACATTTTGTGTCTAAAATAGCTGTTCCACAAAGCCCATTTTGTTCTGGTAAGTCAGAGTTATATTTTGCTTCAAGACTGGTGACGGAAGTAGAATTAATGTAAATAAAAAGATGGCACTAAAGAATTTTTAACCTTAAAAGATACACCTAACACTTTCATTTAATGAATATGACTTCAAAATTTATAAAATCAAAGACATAATAGTAATATTATAATTCTAAACAACAGGCAAGAACATCTTTTATATCAGTAAAATGGGCAGGAGCTCTTAAAAAAAACCATGGACCACACAAATAACTGCAGTTTCAGGTGAAGTTTCAGCTATTGGTTGGTCATGTCGCTTTATGCTTTTTCAAAATATTGATATCATAAAACCAAAATTTGTATATATATAACATACATATACACATACCAAAATTATGGAACATCCCCATAACTAAGTCCTGCATAAGCCACGGCTCAAAATTGTTAAAAAGGTTAAGTGTAATTACAAATTGTTTACACTTAAGCAACTTAAATGCCTTTAAGGTAAAAATAATTGTATGTTTCTAAAACTATTTCGTCATTTATTGAATCACTAAGAAAAACTACTGGACAGATCATCCTGAACAAGAACCAACTCAGAGAAGAGTTCCTGGAATTGTCTACAACATGCCTTATCTAAATAGAGGCTCAACTAAATAACTAAAACTTCATAAAAATGTACAAAGTGTTTGACTCTAAAGTCAAAATGTAGGCCTACTGTGATAAAAAAATACTTGCTTACATTATCTGGCGACTAGAAATTTGTGTTGATCTGTAGTATATTTATTAAATCATTCCCCACTTATCTATTCTCAAACATGCTAAATATGTTAGCAGTTTCACCAAAAACAACATAAAACACAGCAGTTAAAAATGCATGATAAGTAACAATGAATTAACAAAATTTACAACTGTACAGTGACAGAAAAAGGCTATTAAATTATCTGACTACAGTACCAAGTTAGGGGTCATGACAGAATTGTGACATCATTTATGGGTGATCACACATCATAGCTTAATTCTCATCTAAAACATTTTATCCTGAAAGTATACAATCATATAGTACTAAAAGTTTCTTAAGCATTACAGTTTTTAAAAAAAATTGTAAGCTTAAAGTGAAAAGAATTCTTCACTTAGCACCCACCCAGAGGTGCACAAGGCGGTAGTAAAGGAGCACCGTCTGAACAGCCTACAGGCAACATCTCAGTCAACAGCATGTAGCACATTTCATGAAATGTCCATTATCATCAAACTAGGATTTAGAATCTAGCTATGAACAATTTCAGCAATAATTTTAGGAATACCTAGCTATTCACAACCCAAGGCACAAACTCACGGTACATCTTGTACACTACATAATTTTAAATTCATACAATTTTTTGTTTCAAACATTATCATTAGAACTTAAAAAGAATGATCTAAACTTTACCTAAGTAGTTAATTCAAAGGTAGTTCATACATACATAAACAAAAATGATTAACAAAGTTTTCAGAGATTACTATAGTTAAAGAAAATTAACAACAAATTATCCGTATGTAAAAAAAATCTAACTAGGTGACACAACTACCAACAGAACATTTTAAGCTACTGTATTATTTTAGATGCTGTTTTAAAGGCAATTTAAAAAAAAATAAAAGTCTGCTTGAATGAATCATAAGAATTTGTACTACAAATGCAAAGTGTTGTCATAAATATGTATTAAAAATATTTACAACCAGGTGTCAATGTTTGTATAGGAAAAATCAATAGTACATAAGAGAACTCAATTGATGAGTTGGGTTAAGCTGATTTTCAACAATCAGATTCTACTGAAGCTTCTTCAAAATATATTAAAAAGCTACAAACAGATCTTTGATATAAAACTTTTAAAAACAAATGGACAGAATTTTTTTTTTAATCATGAACATGTGTTTAGATCACACAACTTGAAAACAATCATTTTTAGCTTTAAAAGTATTATGATCTTTTTGTGTAAATGTACTAAAAATATTATGCCTTCTTTTTTTTTCAGAATGAATTATCAAGGAACAAGGTTAATGAGCATAAAAGCAGTTAAATTTGTGAGCAAAAAATCACAGCCGTAAAATATATTTTAGTAACTGTAGATATGAAGGGCTTATTTGGAAGAAATCAGAACCGAGAATGGCTTGTCACAAATACAGACGAGAGAGCTTGTAATCTTTTATTCCCCAGCATCCTGTGATTTTGTAGGGGGCGTGAAGCCTGTCAACTCTTGGTATACAAGTTCTGTGGTAAAATGCAGCAGTATAAAATTTTATCAGAAAAACAGATCAGATTTAGACTCACTGCTTTGATAATTAATAAAATTTAAAGCCAACATTTTCAGTTATTCTCTAAATTCTTTGAGTTGAACAGTGTAAACAATGTATAGATGACAAAATTTGATCAACATAAAGATTTTTGGAGCAAAATTCTGCTCTACTGAGATCTTTAACAAATGTTAAACACAAAAATAGAAATATTGTTAACAACAAATTTAAGAAAGAAAAAATATAGATTACCTTTCACCAAACATCTTAGGTATAATCTAACCAATTTGAATGTTAAATTTCTGCCCACATATTGCTTAACATATACAGAAATTATTGTAAAAAACATTTCTTAAGCCTCGGACTTGCTCATCATAAACTTAGCCAACCTCCCTCCTTTCATCGAGAACTTCAGTAATGGACAACCCTCAGGGTCACTAGGTACACTGAATGTGTGGTAGTATTCTAACCATACCAATAATAGACACATTGAGCAATAATTTTTTTTTTACTTTCTTTCTTCTCAATTTTTCTCTCTATATATGGATTCCACCAACAATATACTCCAAAGCTGGTTACTCAAGATGTATGGTGAAGGTTAGAGACAAAACTAATGTAAAAGTAACGTATGTGGTAAAGTCTTACGTCTCCATCCCTCAGTATTGAGGCCTTTATTTTCAAAAGAGCTGTCAAAAGGTTGAGCAGTTGGTTCATCCTCTGGGTCATGGTACTGCCTTATGTAAGGGTGCTGGAGGGCTGCGTCCACTGAGATTCTAGTGTCAGGGTCAAGGTCAAGCATCTTTTCCAACAGATCAATAGCTGAGGGAGGACAAGGTAGAGGGTATGTTAGAACGGTGTACCGGACTTTAGAAACTAATTGTTACAACATAAATGTGAAGGAAACATTTTTTTTTAAATTAAAATATTATTTTTTTAGCAGTTGATTTAATGCAGTAATAATTAAAAAAAAAAAACAACTTGGATGTAATAATCTCATGACTGAGATTTCAATAGAGCTCAGTTGTTGTAAATATCCCATCAATTTGTTTCATTTTGCTATCTATATCTATTTCTGACTACATACAAAATTTTCCCCATGATTCCTCCTAATGACCATGATGGGATTTAGCGACGTAGTTGGTACCAAACATATAGCTTAGCATTCCCTAGGATTAGACCGACCTATAGGCGACCCGTAATCTCTCTATCGGAAACTTAGGTATGCACTCCCAAGAGGATCTTACTTCCCTGACTGCATTCATTGTCTGCCTCAGAAAAAAGGCCATTTATACTTAAAAAACTTAGACAAAATCATCTGTTCAAGATCAAAATACCTTGTAAATTGGCACCAGCAAAAAAGTTTTGATAATTTTTCTTCTTGAGCTTTGGCAACGACCTGATATAACCCTGAGCCTGGTAAATAGATAAAACAGTATGTACAACAAATCAAGTCAGTTTTAAAGCTTTTTTCTGTTTAATTTGAAAAAAAAACAACATCACTTTGCTTTTTTATGTCTCTTAAGTTGAAATGAAACCTGATTTCTACAAACAATCAACATTCTTCTTACCACATAAAATGCAAAAACTAAATTAAAAAACGTATATTGTGATGCTTACGTCCTTGCTGGCAATTTTTGAAATAAACTCTTCAGAAGGTTTTCCAACAAGTCCTAAAATTTTATTAAGTTGATCAATATGTAGAAAAAAGTTAAGGAAAACCTAAGCTAAATGATTTTTTGCAGCAGGCCTACTACCAAAATATTCTGAACTTAAATTTATAAAAGTTACACGAGACAATGAAATATTTAAAAGGATATGATCCATTCCCTTAAAAAGAGGTTTTCTTGTAATCATTTCCCCAAGGATGCATCCAACAGACCATATGTCAACTAGAACAAAAAAAAAAGGTAGTGTTGTTATTTTTAAAACATTCAAAAGTTATTCTTTAACATTAAGATTGAAACTATAACATTTTTAAAACATTTCATTTTATTGTTTCATTTCTACAGTAGCACTAATTGTCTAACACAACTATTGCATATACAAGAAAAAAAGTGATTAAAAACAATAAAGGTTAATTTCATAATTCATGAATATTACTGCTACAAACTTGAAAGACAAATGCAAATCAAAAGCTAAATGAGAGTAAAGAATTAAATCCTGCACTTGATTGTAACAAAGAATACCCCACAACCCTTTACTAAGAGATTTACAAAAAAAAAAAAAAAACTATAAAAGAAAATTACCTCTCTCATTGTAGTGCATCCAGTTAAGTATAATCTCAGGTGCTCTGTACCACCTACACACAACATATCCTGTCATCTCTTCGGCATTTGACCGAGCCAGTCCAAAGTCCAGAATCTAGGACATGTAACGCACTTTAGATTATAGGAAACAAAAAGTGAGCAAAAAAAGAAATACCTATATCAACCCAATTTGTTTGCAATCATTTTTAACTTTGGGTAAAAGAAATATCTTTTATCTCAAGGAATTGAAGAGTAAAAACAATAATTTGTCTTGAATATTATCAAAACCAACAGAACATGAACAAAATTGATCTTAATTGATTACAAATCAACATCATCAAAATATTTTGTTTTGCATAGAGTGAATTATTATAAAGCTGTCACACACAAAAATCAATGTTCTAAAAAAAGAGCAAAGTGTTTTTTATAAACATTACTGTATAGGTATTAAAATAAATTAATTACAGGAAAATTATAGTAATTCATTATCTAAACATGTTAGTAAATAAAAAACAACAACTATTTATTTGTCAATATGAAATTCTAACTCATAAAAGAAATATATTAAATGTGTTACATCAAACAAATAAAACAGTTTTAAATTATCAACTTAATCTCACCAAACAATTTTTTAAAAAGTTTTACAGTTAATTTATTAAATAAGCAATTATATAAACTGCAAAATTTAAAACTTGAATCTAAACGCAAAAATTGAAAATTACCTCTGGTACTACTGTAATGCATAATTAAGAGTTTACAAATTTAGAGGAAAAAAAAGATTTTTTAAGAAAAAAGTATCTCAATATAAAGTCAGATGGGTCCTTAAACTTACCTATACTATATTGATACAAGGTTATCTGATGACTGATAATTATCTTAAGATTTTAATTCAAACTAAAAAATAGTACTAAATTTTTTTATTCAAGCATGGTAATAAAATTATTATTTTTCAAATCTTTATATTTCACTTGCAAAAGATATTTGTTCCTTTTTGAAAATAATTCAAGAGCAACTTTAAAAATGCAACTTGGCAGGTAGTCTCCACCACCAGACACTTCTTTGTTGAGACTCCAATAGTTAAGTTACTCTTATTTAAAAAAAAAAAAACAACTCAAGTGCACTTTCATGTACCTTTCAAAACAATTTTCTTGCACCATGTAATCATTTTCAAGATTTTAAAAATATGTCCTGCGGCATGAATTGTGCTGCTCATTTTTAAGTTTGTATATTAATACAATAAAGATGATTTGTATATGGATTTGTATATTTGTACAAATTCACGGGGTCTGACAGTCTAAAAGTGTGCATGCAAGTCATTGTTATAATTTAAGGCCTACCTTTAGCTCAACATTCTGGTTAACTCCAATGTTGTTTGGCTTTAAATCCTGTAAATGTAGTAATAAAACACTTAACAATTTGTGTTTAATTTAGTTAAACTAAATAAGAAAAAAAAACATTTATTTTCACACAACTTAGTAATAGTTTATTGATTTCTTTCCCATGTACTGATATTAATGAAAACCACTTTCACTAAAGCATTGTGTAGAAAGAAACATAAATAGAAAATGAAAAATACAGAAGATAAATACTTAATGAACAAAGATAATGAAAGCCAGCTCTGGTACTAACCCTGTGAATGATTCCAGCTGAGTGAATGTACTGAAACAAAGAAAAAAAAATTATCATCAAAATAATCTTAAATTAATATTTTAATTTTATATTTTACGTCATCATTAATACATTTCGGAAAAACACTTTTATGTTTTAACTTTAAAAGTAAAAAGTAAGTGTATGTCATGCCAATTTATCCTATTGTTTTATTTTTATTGCCTTAATTTTACAATGAATGCGAAGAAAAACAATGCATTTTGTGTGCAAGGAAATAAATAAGATTTAACAGTATCAGATATGGTATGGGCATGAGATGCTCAATTAAGCATGAGTTGCTCAATTACAACAAATTTGTTAATTTTAAACTTTGTAGCCTTAAGTATTAGGTTAACTATACATAAAGACCTCAAGGAAATTATATTTTAAGAATTTTTTTTTGCTAGAACAATCATACCTTAAGACCCCTAAGAATTTGGTAGAGAAGAAATTTGATATGCTCATCTTGTAGACTTTGACACTTGAGTATGTCATGAAGGTCAGTGTCCATCAATGGGGTTACAAGATATCTGAATAATAAACCATTAGAAAAATATGGCACCATTTTACAAACTAGATGTTTTGGAAAAAGTATAACAGTTTAGTAAGTAATATTTGAGTAACCAGATTTTTTTCTACTGAACTAGAATGACAACAATTTCTAAAAATATAATAAAGGATTAAACAATTTTTATTTTTATTTTAATAATCTTTATATGAAAAAGTTAAAAAAAATCTTACTAGAGTTTGCTTCAGGAGTTTGTATTTATGAAATTATAATATAATAAACATTTAAATCTGTATGTACTTACACATCAGAAAAGTCTGCAAAACTTTTGTTTGGTGTAAATATATCCAGGAGGTTGATCAACTGTTGAAAGAAACAATGAACATTTTTATTGCAGCCAGTTAATAATGTGTATACAAAGCTTGAGTGGTGACAGTTAATTCACTAGATGTGCAGTTATCACTAAATGAAACTCACCCAACTAAATTAAAGCTGTTCTTAATCTCCCCTTTTCTAGGCATCAGCTGATTTTATATTATAAAACTATTACATTTATAATGCGTCCGTCTATGTACACTTATAAGGCATGTGACGTTCAACTGATTGGATCAAATAATCTGATGATAATTGTCGAGTTTTGATGTGATGTTAACAATATTGTTCACATATTAAACCATAATACAGAGATTTATTATGTGAAGATCTCTAGCAACCTTGAAATACAAAGGTTGATTACTTAACATAGTGAAACATTGTTTAATACGAAGCACTTTTTTAAAAAATGATTCAACAAAAGCTCATAGAAAAATAAATACAATAAAGCTTTAATTATATAAAAAAGTATAAAAGTATATGATCATTATCTTCTGAAGTTAATGGTGTACCAGTATTAGCATTTACTTTGCCCTATATAAATAAAAGTGAGCACAAGTTTTAACAGTACAGGTAGTAGCACAATTTAAGACTAGACAGATCTGAATCAAACTTGAAACTATTTACATTTGCTTGAACTTTGAAGGAGATATTTAGACAGATAAGGATGGTAAAGAATAGGAAGATCAGAGTTTGGCTAGTATTAACAATGAGTGGCTGTTTCTTTAAGTCAACATCAGGCAGGTAAACAGGTGATCTACCTGTGAACTCTAGCAGAGACAAGCCCTATGTGCTCTACTGGCCAGTACCTAAATATCTGACAATAAATAAGGCAATCATCCCTGGAACCTTTTGAAGAAACTTATTAAAAAGTTGTATTGGAAAAAATGTGCACATCTCTTTTTTGAAATTGTCTTTTCCCAAGAGTAAAGCAAGCCTGCCTTTAAGAAAAACTCTTCTCATTTACATGCCATGCTAAATTACCTAAACAAAAATGAGAATTGTGCTCACCAGGTAGGTGTAAAAAGAGAATAAAGATAAGACATAAACATTCTGGCGCACAAATACCATGTTGTTTTAAGTTGAAACATGCAGATGTGCCAGGGCTAAAGCCACTTTCTTGCCCCTGCCAGCAAGACTCAATGCTTGCATTCTCTGTCTCATGTCTTAATTCTATGAGAACAAGAAGTCTGGAACCAAACCAGACCAAGCCTAATTTTTAAATAAGGATATTGTCGAGGAAGTCACAGTTGGCAGAGATAAAGCTTAAAGCAAAATAATGACATCTCTACAGTTGTTTCATGTGGTTGAATAGTAGAACATGACTGCTAACCCAAAAGTCTTGAGTACAAACCTTGGACTCAAGTTTGTAGAACATCCCTGAGTCCACCCCTCTAAAGGGTACCTGACTCACGTTAGGGAAAGTAAAGGCCGCGGTGCGAAGGTAAAGTGTTGACCTCACTATATGCACATAAGCAGGTGAACTCCACTTCACTTAACCCATGGACCATCAAGTTCGAAAGGGAATTTTACTTTTTTTTTTAAACTTGTTTCATAAACTCTTACATAATATATATATATATATGTAACTAGGGGAAGTTACCAAGAGACATAACGTGTTACAGTCTGACGTCACAGTGCAGGTGTTGGCTGATGCCAAGGAATATCTCGGGAAGCGATACGAAAGACGGTCTGTCAACTTTGATGTGACAGGATGCAGGTGGCTTATTAAAATCGGACTGTACGACAGAAGCGGCGTAATTAACAGTCTGATGTAACGATTAGAATCGATTACAATTACGATTATGATAGGACCGAATATGAGTACGATTATGAAGGGGATATAAAGAAGGTCTCAGAAAGTCAGTCTCTCTCTCTCGGTCAGGCAGTATCAAGTTGGTTATATTGTGTTAAGAAGGACGTTAGACATGTGTATTCAGTTAGATGAAGCCTAGTGAGGACTGTTGGGGGTCCGTTGATTCAGACTATTATTGTGAAACATCTCTCTTGATTCAATATATTATTGTGAAACATTCTTTGATTCATGTAATAAAAGGATCAATAATGAACCTGCATCTTCGAGTATCTATGCTGTGGTCAATGTTGTGTGGAATGAGTGGTTAGACTCGGGAAGGTCACATTTGGCGTTGTCGGCAGGGTAGTCAGAGACTCGTTACATTTGGCGTTGTCGGCAGGATAGACTCGGGGACTCGTTACATTTGGCGCTGCGAGCAGGGTAACTGTTCGCTCGTTACAATTGGCGTCGTCGGACAGGATGAATTCAACTAGACTTGCCGCTTTAGGCACCCATAGTCAACCTTGTGCATAACTGTGTTTAGTGTGTGTGTGAATTCGGACATTCAGGAACTGTGAAAATTGAGGAACGAGGAAAATTTTTTCATACACACACGGTAAGAAAGAACTCTTTTGTTTTACTTACGGAATACAATGTCTACTCTGGACGAGAAGCGGACCCATATAGTGGTCCTACCCAGAGAGTCCCACATTAACAAATTTTACGGGGACGGTGATCCAACTTTAACCAACAGGTTCAGTGAAGAGGTCAAAGCGGCCTGGGCCTCGAGAGGCATGTCACCAGAGGAAAGATTAAGACTGCTGATGGGCAGTATAGGAGAGACGGTTAGGGCAGAGGTCAAATGCCACGATAAAACCATCCAATCAGATCCGGATAAGGTGCTGGATCTGATTATGGAGACCTTTGGGGAGAGACGGTCGGGATCGCAACTGCTAGCAGGGTTCGTAGGCTTAAGGCAGAGAATGGCGGAGAGTGTGATGGAGTACTCACACCGGATGAACAGGGCCTTTGATTCGGTAAAGGTCAAAACACCTGACATTGATGTGCGCCTACTGAGGGACCATTTCATCGAGGGGCTAGCAACCCCGATCCTAAGAAGAGAGTTGAAAGAGGAGGTCCACAAAGACCCGCAGTTGACCTTCCTTCAGGTCAGGAACTCAGCGATCCGCAGGTCCGAGGATGAGGACCAATCGAACTGTTCGGTGGACAAAGTCTCTGTGCCTGAACAGAGACAATCCCCACCCACAGGGGCCGACACGATGGAGACCATGATGGCTCAACTGTTGGCCCACCTGGTTAAGGTTGACCAACGATTGGAGAGGTTAGAAAGCAGGTCAACAGCTGAGAATCAGGGCAAAAACGGGACAAAACAGAGACAGGTTGGACAGCCGCGACCTGCCGCTCCATCGCTCCGGTGGACGGCTGACGGTCGACCAATTTGCTTGTCCTGTTCACAACCCGGACATATGGCACGGTACTGTCCGGTGAAACGATCGCCCTCTGTACGGCAGGTCAAGGCTACAGAGCGGCGAGGTAATGACTTAGTAAACAAAATGACACAGAAACACAGTAAGGAGAAAAAGAAAGGTAAAACACAACTAATGGAAAAAATGAACTGTGAAATGAACTGGGATGTTGAAAAGTTTCAAGTGAACAATTTGTTGGTAGAGAAAAATGATGATAAGAAGGAAATTGGTAGACTTAAGAATGAGATCTCAATGTTAACCAGGAAACTGGATAGGGAAAGGTCATGCAAATTAAAAGCACAGGAAAAATGTTCATCTTTAGAGTGTCTGTTATCGGAAGAAGTAAATAAAAATAGTAGACAACAGAACAGTGTTGGCAAACTAGAAGAAATGAAAGAGTCTCAAACAAGACTTGAAGAGAAATTATCCGATATTGAAAAAGAACTTCAAAGTACAGCAAGGCTGGGATCCATCGAACAGCGATGGGCAGCAGAATTGGCACTCGTTGACCTAGAGAGAAAACATCGCCCGGGGCGGTCCAATGGCAATGCGGACGCCTTATCAAGGAATCCTTACGAGAGACCGGGCGATGAGGAAGAAACGCTGACAGGAATATGTGAGGTCAGAGCGTCAACAGATATCCCTCATGGGGTACAAGTGATGTAGAACGGACAGACCGGGGTGGAGCACATATCCACAGAGCCCGGACATATGGACAGTAGTGATTTTAATTGCCTTAATCACAAAAAGATAAGAGATGCCCAGAGAACGGATAGTGGCTTACAACCGCTATTGAAATACGTCCAGGAACAAAAATTCCCAGGAAGAAGGGAAAGAGAACAATTTGGTCGAGAAACAAAGAAAATACTGAGTCAGTGGGACCGTCTCAGTATAGAGGATGGTGTTCTCATGCGGAGAATTCATGACCAAATTGATGGGACAATACACCAGGTGGTGGTGCCTGGACAATTACGAGAAGAAGTGATAAGGTTGGCACATGACAGGGCAGGACACCAGGGTCAGGACAGGACGCACAAAATATTACGACGGAGGTGTTACTGGCCCAATATGGAAATGGAGGTCAAACGCCATTGTGAGGCTTGTGTGAGGTGTCAGCATGCGAAAATGCCAGTTGTCAAAATGAGACAGCCATCGGGACACCTATTAGCGACAAAACCACTAGAGATTGTGGCTATGGACTTTACGTCGTTGGAGCAATCATCGGATGGGACGGAACATGTGTTGGTAATGACTGATGTTTTCACCAAATGGACTGTGGCGGTGCCCACACGAGATCAGACTGCCAAAACAGTGGCAAAGGTCTTAATAGAACATTGGTTCATCAAATATGGCATACCAAGACAATTACACTCTGACCAAGGAAGGGCCTTCGAGTCAGAAGTAATTAACCAACTGTGCAGCCACTACGGGATCAACAAATCTAGAACAACCACATTTAATCCGAAAGGAAACGGACAGTGCGAGCGGTTCAACCGCAGCATGCATGATTTGCTGCGTACTCTAGAACCTGAACAGAAAAAAACGTTGGCCTGATTTTCTCCCAGAGTTGGTATATCTATACAACTGCACACCCCATGCCACAACCGGCTTTTCGCCATACATGTTGCTGTTCGGACGGGAGGCTCGACTCCCCCTTGACTTGTTCCTAGGAAAAAAGGAGAGTATGACTGGCTCATACACTGCACTGGAATATGTGAATGAACATATGAGACGAATTAGAGAAATGTACAGGGTAGTACAGGAAAGACTAGAACATGAAGCACGGCGAAGGGAACCGCCGGTACAGACAAAGGACCCGCCACTCAAACTGAACGACAGGGTATTACTGCGTAGCCACCCGTTAGGCAGAAACAAAATCCACGATCTCTGGGGACAGGAGATATGGCAAGTCGTGGAGATGCCTAAAGTAGCAGGTGGCCCCTTTAAGATAAGACCCATCGATCACACCAAACCGGATCGGTGGGCGAATATTGCTCAATTAAAGAAATATTGTCATAGTCAAGGAGAGCAGTTACACACAAGGAAACCCAAGACAATTAGGGAACCGGAAACTATAACGGAAATTCTCATACCCATCCCGGAACCATGTCACCATCAACAGCGCAACAGCGACACACAAAGGGAGGATACCGGCAACAAGGAGGATCCCGGTCCCTCCAAAAGCAGAGAGACAGTAGACCATCAGATAAGTGGTCCGCGGAGAAGTTTGAGAAACAGAAAGAATACGAAATTTTTTGTCAGCAACCATCAATTCTTTCATGGTCGCGCTGGTATGAGAACAGACTGTTCAAAAAGTCATAAAAGTGAACTGGTGAGGGCACCAGATGAAAAAGGGTGGATGTGAGTTCTGGAACTGTTTTGTGTCTGAGGAAGATGATGTAGACACATTGGATATGTGAAATAGGGATAACTGTCAATCTTATACGAATGTGACGACATTGACAGTGAGTGGAACAATAAAATTTTTTTTACGGTGGTGCGATGGACTTTGAAGGACTGCACCTGCCAAGCGTTGTTTGTGGTTGATAACACACAAAAAAAGGCAGGGGTGGATGTAACTAGGGGAAGTTACCAAGAGACATAACGTGTTACAGTCTGACGTCACAGTGCAGGTGTTGGCTGATGCCAAGGCGTAATATCTCGGGAAGCGATACGAAAGACGGTCTGTCAACTTTGATGTGACAGGATGCAGGTGGCTTATTAAAATCGGACTGTACGACAGAAGCGGCGTAATTAACAGTCTGATGTAACGATTAGAATCGATTACAATTACGATTATGATAGGACCGAATATGAGTACGATTATGAAGGGGATATAAAGAAGGTCTCAGAAAGTCAGTCTCTCTCTCTCGGTCAGGCAGTATCAAGTTGGTTATATTGTGTTAAGAAGGACGTTAGACATGTGTATTCAGTTAGATGAAGCCTAGTGAGGACTGTTGGGGGTCCGTTGATTCAGACTATTATTGTGAAACATCTCTCTTAATTCAATATATTATTGTGAAACATTCTTTGATTCATGTAATAAAAGGATCAATAATGAACCTGCATCTTCGAGTATCTATGCTGTGGTCAATGTTGTGTGGAATGAGTGGTTAGACTCGGGAAGGTCACATTTGGCGTTGTCGGCAGGGTAGTCAGAGACTCGTTACATTTGGCGTTGTCGGCAGGATAGACTCGGGGACTCGTTACATATATATATATATATATATATATATATATATATATATATATATATATATATATATATATATATATATATATATTACTGAATTACTAAAACACTAGAAAAGAGAATAAACATATAATAAAGAGGAGTAAGAGAAGAATAAAAATTGTTTTTTTTTTTTTATAATTGTTAGAATTAAAACTAACTCACATTTTCATGATCAAAGTGCCTGAGCATCCTGATTTCTCTGTAAGCCCGCTTGGCAAATATCTCAGATTGGAATGGTCTAGCCAGTTTTTTAACTGCTACTCTTGTTTTGGTCTCTACATCATCTGAAGCACTGGGAACAGAAACAAAAGAAACACAATGAGTGGGAAATTTATATATATATATCTCAGATGTGAATGGTCTAGTCAGTTTTTTAACAGCTACTTTTGTTTTAGTCTAATCATTTGAAGCATTGAGAATACAAATAAAAGAAACATGAACAGTGGGAAATTTATAAAAGGACCAAATAAAAAATATTTTCACAATACATTCAGAAAGTACCACCACATGCAAGTCTTATACATAGTCTATTTCTCCTTGGTAGCCATGTCACCAGGTGCTAGAGATGCCAGCAACTTAAACAAACTACCTGACCAGAGCGCCCCACCTGAATGTCAGCCAAACACAACAGCTGTGTTACCTGGAGCAGTCATTCACCTTCAGCAACTGCTTGTTTCAAGGGTTTTAGTTCATGATTTTACAGGGGGGAAATCATGCATGGAGTTTAGTCAGTATTGTATTGTTACTTCATGTTTTATATGGAAGTTATCTTTCAAGCTACCAAGCCAAATTTCCTGACTGATGCACTAACATACAAGCAAAGTTGGGAAATCTTGTCCAAAGAAAAAAAATGTAATAGATTGCTAAAGATACACTAAAAAATGCAAATTTGAACTATGATCGATTGAAAACATTATTTTAAAATTAAAGCTCCAACAAAACTAGCCCAGTAGTAAATTTAACATGTATAATCTTTTATTATCTATCTTCCATAACCCATTAGGGCGAGTTAATAATAGTAATTAGCTGTACAAATCAGAATTGTCAGACAGCTAAAATGTGGCTCAGAAAACTACAGCCGGTGGGGGAAGGGAAGAAAGGGTTAACTGTTGTACCACTGTTGTGAGGTGGGTGTGTGAGGGAAGACCAAGAACTTGTTATAGAACAGTGAACAGCTGTTAAGATAGCTGGACCACAATAGTTGTTTCTATAGGCGGGTCTCCAGCACAATGAGTGTCATATCCGGTACAATTTGTGATCAACACCACGTGACAATTTGGTTCAAGATGAGGATACGTGTTTTAAACGTTGTACATTTTAAAAATAGCAACGTTTTCACAAAGGGGTCGTCCATAAATGACGTCACGCTCGTCGGGGAGGGGGGGGGAGGGGTCCGTAATTTTGTGACGGTGTGTGATGAGGGGGAGTTCAGATGATGCGACGTCACACTTTTGCATTATAAAAAAAGCAATGTTAGAATACGAGTTTTAGCCGCTATTTCGCGTTTTAAAAAACGGTTTTAATAAATAGGAATTGATCAAAATACTCCATGTTGACAGAGTTCTGACAAGACTTTGGAAAAATATCGATTTTTTAAGAAAAATTAACCAGCAATTTTGATGGGGGTTGTAGGCTGAGGTGTGACGTCATTTTAGGGGTCTGGCTTTTTGTGACGACGTGTGACGGAGGGGAGGGGGAGGGGGGTAAAGATCGTCAAAAAAACGTGACGTCATTTATGGATGACCCCAAAACAAAAAAGTTCGTTTTTATGGGTTCAGAACGTAAGAGAAAAAAACAAACCTATCTTGTCTATTTGAACGTGCACAGGAGAAAAATCAAACAGGGAGAGAAAAACGAACCCTTTTAAAAAAAAAAACAATCGTATCTAAATTATTTTTGGTTAAATCTAAAATTAACGGCAAATGGAAACGTGTATCAAACATCAGTCAGTTTCATTGAATGTTTAATAAAAAAAATGTTATGGGGGAAAATGTTTAAGGCCTTGCTGCTAACATTAAAAAAAGAAAAGAATTAAAACAATCTGTTTCTTATAAATATCTATATATATCTATATCTATCTATCTATATATATATATATATATATATATATATATATATATATATATATATATATATATATTTCTCTTCTGGGAGCCGTTAGAAAACAAGCTGCAAGCGCCTCCTTGCAGTCCCCTCTCTTTCTCTCTATCACTATCACTATCACCCCCACCCCACCCCCACATTGTCTGATGAGTTGTGGTCACGCTAAATGTTTACAAAGCTAAATGTTTACAAATCGTAGAGCCGGGTTTCTATTAGGGGCAGATAATTTAGTTCGATTTTAAACTTACAGGAGGTAACTAAGAAATAACTAAGAGGAGGCTGCTTTCACGGGGGGGGGGGGGGGGGTGTAGGGTCGGGGAAAGGGGGGGGGGGGTTAGTGTTTTAAAGCGAATATTTTCAGTGGCAGCATTGGTACTGTCGAATTCACAAATGAATTACTGAAAAGTAGAAAATAAAACAACTAAATAGCGGCGTATGATACGCTGCGAGTCGGCTCGTTTCTTATAATGGTTGTGTCAGCATGTTTTTGCATACAAGGTTTTCTGCCAGTAACACATCTATTATAGCTCATATTGCTCCACAATACGGACAGATTTTCTCTGCTTTTTCCACTCTAGCTACAAAAAAATCACCACACTATCTCTTCGTGTGTTTAAAGTTCCCTTCAATCCAATTGCCTTCCTTATGAGTTAATGCTGAAAACATTCTTTGCACTTAAGGTTTAAAAAAAAACCACAACACGCCCACCACATTTCGCTAATCTCAGAACTCCAAATTAGCTGGGAACAGCTATGAAGTGTTGTACGATTCATAGCAAGTTGTTTGATTTTCTCTACAGAAATCTCCATGCTAAGATAGAACGGGTTGACAAAGTTGAGAAATAGCTTGGAGTACGCCCCAGAAGTAAACTGAAGTGCTGGTTTTTAAACACGACACCACAGTATACATATATACACGTATGTATGTAGGCTAATAACAATAGCACTGACTAGAACGATAATCCCAGTCAAGATGGGCTGAGTAATAATCATTAAAATCAATGTAATTTTTTTTTTGTGTTGTTTACTTTAGTTAAAATCCTCCCACTCCTTTTTCGGTCACTAAACTACCTAAAAAATTCAAATTCAAAGTGCAATTGTCTTTAGCCCATCCAGAACTAAAATGTAATATGTTATACATTAGGCCCACTTCCCTTCTTTGTCCGAATTTTGAAAATTACGCATAGGTATGTAAACCCCATCAGGCCAGTTAAAGAATTACTTATGTGGATGTCGGCATTATTTCAGAACATTCAAATCTAACAATCCCCCTTCAACATTCCTCCCCCTACTACACACAAACACTTGAAAACCCCTCAAACTGTGTTCTTTCACTCCTTGCCAGGTTTAACAACAGTTTAAAAACGAAACAAAAATGTGTCATCACAGAAGAACAAAAACCTGGCCAGAAAATGCTGCTCGTCGTTTTACTGTGAGGCAGTGGTGTAGCTACCGTAAAGCTAGCGTAAGCAAGGCATAGGGGCCCTTTTTCGAAAGTCTGAGGGGGGGGGGGGTGCAAATCGAAAGTCTGAGGGGGGTGGGGGTGCAAATCGAAAGTCTGAGTGGGGTGGGGGTGTAAATCGAGAGTTTGTCCCCGGTGGCCGGAAAGGGTCGCTACGCCTCTGAGGGGCCCACTAACACTTTTTTCATAGGGGCACAAAAATCCTAGCTACGCCACTGCTGTGAGGATACGTTTTTAACAGATTTAGGGAAGGGGTTTTAATCTAGAGTTTTTAACTGGGAGATGCTACTTCAACTTAACACGAAATGCTTTTAAAAAGTTCGGTTTTCATTATTTCAGTCTCATCGCTGCCGCGCGTGGTTGGACCGTGCGAACATAGGGTAGCCACGTGATTACTTGGAGTGGTGATAATTAACGCAGTTTTTAAAAGTATTTCAAACAAACACAAAACATTCTTGGGAAATTAGTGGGTGAAGATGTAGCGAAACGGAATTTAAAAAGTTGAGTTTGAAAGAAAAAAAAACTTCGCACAAACAAACGTATAGCCAGCTAAAATTAGGGTGGGATTTCTTTAACTTTTCATCTAAACGAGCTACGCTAGCGCAGATGTTGAGTACAGAGGCAGTTCAAACGGTGTTCAATATTTCCCTCGCATGCAGTAAGACGAAAACAAAAATCTTACCCAGCAAAAATAATGCACGCACTCAAGAAATTATTTTATAAACTTTACATTTTTAGGCTGGTAACTAGATTATAAAAAACGATAATTTAAAAAAAAAATTATTGTGCTTGACAGCTTTACAACTTTTTAACAGGTAAAAAGCTGTAGACCTAAAAAGAGTTTCCCCCGTGATGCCGATAAAGTGATAAGTTTAAATAGCGTGAAGTATTTTCTCTAAATTCTGCTTACTAAATCAAATTAGAAATTTTTTAGATGGATAAAAATAAATTTCGTCATTACGTTAAAAGGCATTTTAGATTTACTACTCAGGAAAAACTAAAGCGAATTCAAAACCAACACAATTTGGTATGTCTCCTGGATCTATTCAAATATTCTTACAGCTGGTACATTAGACAGTGACACCTTCAACCCAAACTAAAACTGTAGCCACAAACCTCGTTTCCAAAGGGTTTTAAAATATCTTTACAAACCTCAAAATATGTCGGCTCTTGTAGTTTGGATCGAGTATGATATAAAGCAGTTTTACAGAGAAAAAATAAATTCAGTTTTTAAAGAGATATTACTTGGAGGTTACTTTTTTCGCTTATTGTAATGTATTGTGGTAATGTCCGCGACCAGCGCTACATGAGGCGCGTATAGATGTTTGCGCAAATAATAGTGTCTCTTCTATTTCTTTTCAATTTATTTTTTTCGATCAAAATTACTGTGTAAAATTTTCTGCACCACTTTCAACCTCTTGGCACTTTATGTATGAGTGAGACATCGTGCCAAAAACACTCTCGAAACAAAAAATCAGAATCACCTTTAACACAATCGCTGTGAGTAAAAATTCCGTAATGTGAGGTCAGAATCAAAGTAAAAAATACTGGAACTGTGATGTCATAATAGAGTAGAAACGAATCTCAATTGGACCTCAAACACCATGAGTAATTTCACTTTCAAAGCTGTCGACACTTCGACTAACTAACAGAAGAGGATACCATCGAAATGACTCACCATAGTGACATTATAGACGCGTTCTTTTACATTAACATTGACCAACTGGAGCTGGAGGGAGGGGTGGGGGTGACTGATGTATCTAAAATTAGGTAGACTAAATTTTTTTCTACAAACAATGTTGCAGTAAAAAAAGGCAATTCTTATTTTTAAACAGATCACTAATCATTTTACTTCCTTATAAAACGGTATTCATTATATAATATAATAATAGTATGCCGACTCGTATTGGTATTTTGTTTTGACTCAGCACATTACACGCTGCCTTTGTACTTTTTAAAAACAAGGAACTTATTTATTACGAAACAATATTAAGTACAATACCCATTTACCCTAGCGCAGACGCGGTAATATTAATGGAGAAAAGAGCAAGATTATTTTAACGTTAATCTGTGGGGGAAGGAATCTCAAGGTACGGATTGTA